AACCGCTACCACATTTAACATACACCACAATAACATTAACTCACCCAACCCATCCAAACCGCAGCCACACTAACAATGCAAACCAGACATCCTTACGCTTATTTACAGTCTTGAATTTTTTTAAAGTAGGAGAATAATGTATAATGACATGTTAGGATAGGGTTGGTCTCTTCTGGGATGGAGGGGGGAGGTTCGGCGTTGGGGTTGGATGCTGTGGGGATTGTGGATAGTGTTTTGTGTTGGGCTCGGGTACCTACGTTTTGATCTTGGTGTTTGTTTGGTTTCTTGTCTTCTCTTTGTTTTTAGCTCTTGCTTTCTCTTCTCTTCTCTTCTCCTCTTAGCTAACATGGCAAAGCAAGAACAAATCAACACACCTGTACTATCCACTATGCCATATCTAGCACCTTTACATTTCCCAGCGTACTTGACGCCTTCCCTTACCCTAACCCTACTCTTCCCTTAACCCTGTCCCTCTTAAAATTCACAATAACGAGCACAACATACTACTACTCTATTATACATGAGTAATTATATATAATTAATCTAATATAATTAATTAGTTTAACCATTTATTGCCCTTACCCTTACCCTCACCCTCACCCACCCTCGTCCTCACCATCACACACACATCCCCACAAAACACCCAATCTACCCCCTTACCCCCCTCTCCCAGAAAAAGGAACCCCCCCTGAATAAGAGAAAACAAGGTGAATAGAGGCGCCGCAAACAGGGTCCAGCAACTCCCAGGCACCACCCGCCACAGCACCTCCATCAATCAATCAATCAATCGGACAAAAAAACAAAGAGCGCAACGTGTGCAAACCCGCAGATTCACAGCTTAGTACCATAAGCAAGCCGTGCAGCCAATAAAAAGGGAGGAATATAGTGTGTGTTCAAAAAAACATTATTAAGGAAACAACAACAACAACAGCTATCTCTCTATCTTCCCATTCATCCCCCTCTGCCTTTTTTATCGGCTTTGTTATGCCTTAAACGTTGCACTCCCCCCTGGCTCTCCGAGCTCTCACCCTCCCCCGCCACATCGAACAGACAACAAGGAAAACACCCAAGGATCCTCTCTGCCGGTAGTGGCCTATTCCAAGAAAAAACCCCCTTGGGTGTGCCCAGGCAATAAAGAAGAAAAAAATACAATAAAATAACCCACTTCGCTGTTGTGTATGTGTGTCGGTCGGTGTGCCCAGAGACCCGCCCGCAGGGTATCAAAGAAGAGCGACCGGGTCCGGAGCAAACCCACTCATTGTGCGAGGAAGTGCTGGTGGGGTCCGCAACGCCTGTGGATGACATGAGGACATGCAACCCGTGACTCAAAATCAAAACAAGATTTTCATTCGTTTCACCACCCGTCTGAATTATATCAGACCGCATAACCGGAGGTTTTCTTGGATGATGATGTCTGTCACAATTAGCGAGGGAACATGTCTAGGGGAAGAAAAAACATACCATTTACGGCAGCCATGACGAATCGAATTTGCATTGTATCCGTGGCGCATGTGAAGTGTGTGTAGATTTGCTTGGTCTCGTGTTGGTTTAGCGAGACAAATCGGTTCAGGATGTAGTCGCACGCGGCGGCGTAGTCTGCGCCTCCCTCGTAATCTGGGAAGTAGTTCTTCATTGGGCTGACGGGCAGCTTCTCCTTGAACCTGTCGATCTTGTTCAGGAACAAGATGATCGATGTCTTTACGAACCACCGCGAATTACAGATGGAATCGAACAATGTGAGGGCTTCTTGCATACGGTTGACCGTCTCGTCTTCGAAAAGCAATTGGTCGTACTCGGAGATGGCGACGAGGAAGAGGATGGTGGTGACATTCTCGAAGCAGTGTATCCACTTCTTTCTTTCCGAACGCTGGCCACCGACATCGAACATGCGGTAGGTAAGGTCGCCAATGATGAAGGTCGTCTCGGTGATACCCGTCGTCTTGACACGCGAGCGTAGAACGTCCTGGTCGTTGGGAATGTAATCGGGGGCAGCGATGCGGTCGATTGAGTCAAAGTAGCTAGGCTAGTTAGTGGCCTGTAGCACCAGGGATCACAAGGTGACGCTCACTATTTGGCAGAGTCGTTGAGTTGGTACTCGCGTGAGCGCTGGAAGCACTGTTGCACACCAGCATCCTTCCAGAGAACTGAAATGGCATTGCCCACCTCGGGGGGCAGGCTATCGCCTTCAATCTGTGCGGGTTGCATGAAAATGGTCTGGACGTGGTACTCGGCGCGCTGGTCGTCAAGAGGCAGCTCGAGCGACTCCATGGCCTCGAGAATGACGCGCATCGACTGGACGGTGTTGCTGAAGATGATTTCCTTGAATGACTCGCGTTCGTCGCGTGAATAGCCGCCCTCGTGGATGAGCTTCATCTGCTTGAGGATCGTCGACTTTCCGGATTCACCGGCACCTGCAGCTTCTTAGTCTTGTTGAGGGCGTGGACGACGTGCGCAGAACTGACCGAGAAGCAGCATCTTGATCTCATTGCGCTGCATCATCTTGTCGCGCTTGAGCTGATTCTCAATCTCCTCATTTCGTTGCTTGCCCTCCTTCTCTTCTGTGCTCATTCCACAACCCATGGCTGCTGTTGCGGACGCTCGTCCAGTTGAATGTCAGGGCGATGGGGCAGGGGGGGGGGAGGGGGCCGTTGATCGCTCACGTCGACCAATGCGGTAACCTGGCAGACGGTGTCAATAGAGGAGTGAAGTGCGCAATGGAAGTGCAGCGTGGAGAGGTGCGATGGGGCTAGTTTAGTTCCCTGGTCTGGCGTGTTTGCCCGTGGTGAGACCAGAGGCGAGATGGCGAGACGGGGTGCGAGTGTTAGGCCGACGTAGCGGCGCTTTGCTGACCACTGCGCCTGCGACTGCGACTGCGACTGCGACTGCGACTGCTAGACAGATGGCAGGCGGGCCAAGGGCAGGAAGGTGCAGTGCAGTGCAGTAGAGTGTAGTGGAGTGGAGTGGGGGGAGGAAAAGGCGCTCACCTGCTGTGACTACGAGATGCGCTCGCAAAAAAACAATCGGGGGGCACTGGCGGTGGGAGGCAGAGGAGAGGATGGGGGCGACTGGACAGGTGGTGAAGGGATGGATAGGATGGCTGGCGAGTGAGAGGCGGCCTCGCTTGCGGGTCTCAGGTTCAGGGCTGGCTGCAAGGTTCGGTTCGGGGGTGGCTGCGACGGGGCCACGGCTGTCTCTGCACCAAAGCGCTCAACAGGGTGGCGGACAGCGGGCAGCGGGCAGGAAGAAAAGGTGCAAACGGCTGCTGGTGTTGTTGTCAAGGGCCGAGGGGTTGCACAGCAGCGACTTGGGGCGGAAACAGAGGTAATGTGGTGGTTGGTTGGGTTGGGTTGGGTGAATGGATGGATGGATGGATGGATGGATGGTTGGTTGGTTGGTTGGCTGAGCGTAGGTGATGGTTGATGTGATGCAAGCCGCCGACGAGAGGCAGCGTGTTGGAAAGTATCGTATAATTCAGTACGATACGGTACGGTACGGTACGGTACGGTAGAGGAACAGTATCAGTGGCAGTGACAGTGCTGGTGGCAGTAACAGTAACAGTAACGGTGACAGTGATAGTACAACAGTAACAGTACTATGGGAGATTTGCAGGACTGGTACGACGACGCGACAGAAGGCGCGACTGGCAGGAGAGGAGATCAAGAGGCAAGAGCGCAGCTGGGCCCTGGAAAGAACAGAGGAACGGGTTTTGGGAGAGAAAGAGTGCGAAAGGAGTCAAGTCGCGCTTGCCCTCGTTGGAAGGCACCGTATCCATGAAAGGAAGCCGCCGCCAGCGCCAGAAATCCTAGCCCCACGCGGACCACGGGCGGCTGCTACGAAACTCTCTACAAGGCCAAGGGCAATGCCCGTCTCTCCATTGTTCATTCCCTCTTTGATGACAAGGCAAGTTCAAAGAATCCGACAAGGAAGAAGAAGCCGACGAAGACGACGATGGTGCAGCAAGCAAGAGCTCGGCCTGTGCGGTAGCGAATGGACATAGCTGGGTCCTGGGCATTCAATGGAGGGATGGATGCAGGTGTTCTCTCGCCAGCTATCAGCCTAGGCAAGTGCTTATGTACAGTACTGTACTGTACTGTACTTGTACTGTACTGTACTTGTACTGTACATATGTTACAAGTACCACTGTGTTATGTAGACTACATACTCTCCATGGATTCAGTTGGCCTGTATACTCTACTATGAATGCCCATCAATGCTACAGACTTGCTGCCACTCTCCTCCCGTCTCTCCCGTCTCTTTTCCAACTGCTTTCTTGGTTAAGTGATTACATACCATTGACACAAGAGCACCCACCAACCACCAACCACGCCTCCCTATCTAGTCTAGGCAGCCGTAGTTCGTCTCTCTGCTCAACTCTTTGACCGTAACTTTTGCTCCGCCATTATTGGCTCTAGCCATCACAGGCCTTGCTCCGTCCATTTACTTCACCCTCGCTGCATTGGCCACCCTCTTTCTCTTTCTCTTGTCTCCATCCACCTCTCTCTCATCGGCAGCTAGCTCAGCTCACTCGCGAGGCCCTGTCACCCTGCTGCCCCGTTCGACATGGAAGCGCTGTCCTCATCACCAACAGATGCGTCTCCCGTCCCGCTTAGAGCCCACTAGCTGCCATTCTAGAAGCTTTGTGGAAAGTGAAGCCCCGCAGAAAAAAGAAGAGGGCCTCTCCTCACCCTCGGCGCCGCCAGTGACCTTCCATAGTTGGTCTTGCCTTTCCCCCCCCCCAGGTGACAATACCCTTTGAAACGATGCTGGCTGCGGTGATACAAAACCTGTTCACGTCTCACACTTCGCGTTTTGGGCCTTGCCAGACAGACTGCAAGCTGCAAGGCACTATTTGCTGTCGCCGCTGCTTCAGCTGTTGCTCTCCGCTTCGTCAACAGCTGTTGGCGCGCAAAACAAGGTTTGGGGGCACAGCAGATTCGCAGAACCATCACGACTGACGACCCACCCTGGAGCTCTTTGACCAGCCAACTCGTTCCCACCGGCATCCCAGCCAACCAGGACAGGGAAAAGGAGGAAGGAGGGGGAGCAGGCACATCGCCTGCGCTAGGCCCGCTTATGGTCTAGTCTGCCCGACATGAACACTCGCCAAACCTCCGTCGCATTGCCTTCTCATCTCCCCGACTCGCACTCGACATTGGCCAATCATGCCAATCACTGCAACCTTTGAATCCTCCTAGCTCGGCTCCGATTCCCATTTCCCACCCAGGTACGAGATGATTTTCGACATTTGGCCCCTCGACTCTTTCGGCCCTTCTGCTGTGCATCATCTGGAGATGACGATCTGGTTCCAGAGAGCCAGCGAGCTGGTATGCTACTACGTATGTACCCTGGGAATGGACTTCACTGTTCTCTGGGTCTATGTCGACATGCTCGCAACACCATCCCCCCACGTATCCCAGGAATCCTCCATTTCACCTGCAACTACCCACAACTCACTAACGACGCACTACAACCGAACTTCTGCCAGTAGTGCACCACCAAAAACCCCTTGCCAGCCTAGCCGGTCCTGGCTTTTTATGCATGTTGTGAGCATTACTCACACCAAACCCTTGTGGTGATGAACGGTTCTTCCATTCGAGACTCGAGAGTTCTTTCGCCGACCCCTATCTGCTAGGGAAAGTACGACTCAGGGGAAGGCGGGAGACGCAGTCTCAACTAAAGACACGTGGACGCCGGGGCCATGCATGAATGTGGGTGAAAGACACACGCATGGACGACACATCATCTAGGCAGCGCCACATGGTGGGAACCATAGCTCAACGACGCTAATCACCCTATTTGAGCTTCTACAAGTATGTATATACTTTACTAATTGCCAATCGACTCCTGAGAAGAGGCCCATGTCAGGGTTCGCCTCTAGGTAGACATTCATCGATGCTCAAGCCTGTTCTTTGGCATTGTGAATCACGTTCAGAGACAGTTTATTGTGCTGACTTCACTTCACCTGCACAGCCATTCTCGGTTTCTGCCAGCTCTACCAAGCCTCACCGCCTGAGCGTGGGAATTCTTCCTATTCCTTTCATATCCGGTTGTATCGCTCCCTGCCAAGCTGAGGATGGACATCTACAAGACGGTGCCGCAATCGCATCGAGTGCTCGATTTCGCTTGCGATTGTCGATGGGAAGGATTTCGGGAGCACCATTACACGTGAAACACCGAACGATCTACGGACCTGCATATTGTGTAGGGCTTCCCTAAAGTCAATTACTGCCACAAAGCTTCAATGTGAGGTCATCCCAAACTTTCAGGGTCATCACCTGGCTTGAGCGTGCAAACGTATGCTCCGACTACGGACCGACCGGAGTGGCATATTAACATAAGACGTATTGGTATGACGTGGGCGACGACAATGCTGAACAGTTGAAGTTTGACTGCTTTTGTTGTACAGCACAACGTCCAACGGAGCTTCGTGATCGGCGGAGACCCGCTGCTGGTACAACAGCTGCGCATTAGTAACACAGTAGGCACCTTACGCTTCCTGGGCCCCATGCAGGCTCTTGCTGTTAGTGATCATCTAATAAAATCTCCGCATGTTGTCACCATAGAAGGACTAGACCAGTGAGTGACTGAATTCTACAAGTCTCGTCCTACACGTCACTGCAGCTGCAAGATGGGTCGTTCGCAAACTGACATCCAGACCGAGTTCATCGTCATGTCCCTGCTGTCAACAGCGTCAACAAAGTCACAGGGTGGTATCTTTGCCGCATCACATCGGGCTGCTGTAATGGTGAGCAGGCCATCACTCACGTCATGTACGAGCCACTGCGGACGCAATGGATCTGGTCGCAAGAAGGTAGCCAACAGCATATTTAGTACTGTGAGAGTATACGTACGCCAAGACTGTATTTTGGTGTTCCGCGCGAAAAGTACAAGAAAGCTGTGCAACGACTGGCTGATGATGTAGACGAACATAGACCCCAGCGCTTAGCGCACGATGCCAGCGCCTAAAATAGGCACGTTTGTATCACCACAGCATGCATCCGATCAGTTTGTAGTCAATCAATCTGCAGCTTGGTTCCGAGCGCTTACCATGGGTATCAATGATATCGAAATTCCGCTGCGTTAACGCCTTCAGCGGTTGCCCAGGCAGGGCTGTGACAAGGCGGCTGGGAAAGATGCTAGATACATATTGTCAGCCTACCATCAGCGCCCGGGTGCTGTTTACCTGCATCGACAAAACTTCATGAGACGGAGCGCGAGTTACGAATTTCCTTGAGTTCTCTCCTTCAATTTCCTTGTTCGTTTCTGCTGCTGGTTCAGTGTTTTCTTGTGTTGCCCCATGTCTAGATCTTCTAGTGAGTATACTCTTTCTTCACTCCATGTTTGCCTTCATCTTGAAAAATGTAGCTGACCATGTGCGAAGATCCTGTACAACTATGCTTTTAAGCCCTTTGAAAAGGCTATGGTTTTCATCAGTCCTGCTTCTCCTCGCATCGCCGCTCAAGGCATCTCCTACTGTCACAACCAAGCCAGCGTCACTTTCAGATTTCCTTGGGCAAAACGTTCCCTCTTGCGCTCAGTCTTGCGTCCGCTCTTCGCTGGACGAGAGGTTTCCGGTAGCATGTACTGTCCAGGGGGATGTCGATTGTCTATGTTCCCATTATAGTAATACAGGAGAGTCATTGGGTGAAGTCGCAGTGGGTTGTGTTTACGCGTCTTGCTCATCACTAGATCGTATCGATGCGGCCTATGGTATCTGTCTGGGTAGAAAGGACGCTGTGATGCCCACCAAAACAGCTCTTACCTACACTGTCATTGCAAGTAGCACACCTCGCCCGACTTCGCTGTCATCACAGAGTTCAATCGCGTCTAGCGCCTCGGTCACTACAACGACGGTTCAGACCCAACCAACTCCAACACAGTCTGCTTTTGCAGATACGGTTTCGACCCTCCCACCTGCCACTGCGTCAAGCTCATCCACACCTGTGCCAACTGCAGATGCAGGTGTCGCCCCGCCAAAGATGACACCGGCACAGATTGCCGGGCTGTCAGTGGCTGCTGTGGCGGCTTTCATCATGGCTATTGGTCTCATGGCCTTGAGCGTGTGTCTACGAAGACGAAGGGAACGGAAGATCAATGTAGATGGAGATGAGAAGGGTCTAGGTGGGCAATCGAGGTCGCTTTCCGCACGGTCTGCGCGTTACCTCTCACTCGGGGGCCAGCCAGAGTCTCGTGTGCAATTTCCAACGATACCTCCACCGGTAGCTCGAAAGAATAAGATGGCAGTTGGACCAAGTGGCCATGCAGCCAGCCTGAGGACCGCGCGACCGCAACAGCGGCTAGGCGTAGGAACTTCCAACGCTTCTTCGAATTCCTCCTTGCCACTTGACCAGATAGGCATAGCAATCAGTGCGGAGCTCGACGGAATGTCTGCCCCAAGGAAGGCGCTTGCGAATGCTGCCTCTGACAAAAAACAACGCCCTTGTGACGAGGCACAGTCTGGCGTGCCGTTTCGACCTTTTAGTGCCCTTACACAAGAGACAGTCTTCGAGGAGGACGATGTTCCAGCATGCCGCAGATCTTCAGTCCTCGTTCCGAAACTACCAGTACCAATCCCTCCCATCCGCAATCTGCAGCCATCAAGATCACCACCTACATACGATGTTAGTAATCGCCAGGCAGCACGCAAGTCGGAGCTGTCTCTGGAGATTCCCATACGTCACCAACGTCCTCAGCCCGAGAGAATGATCACCAAAGATGTGTTTTCGACCAGCTCACAGAGACCCGTCGTTCCATCGCTGCGTCCTCGGTTAGCACCACCAATTCAAGCAAACTCGTCCAAAGAGTCCATAGCCAACACAGCAAGCTCGCGCAACGGAAGCAGCGACGGAGACATCATCGACTACTACTTTTCGTCTCCCCAAAACCTCACCCCAAAAGCCAGTCCTGCCCCATTCAGCCGCCCCAAAGACTCCCCCCAAACCATCCAAATCCGGTCCAAAAAGTCCCTCAGCACCCTATCCCGTCTCTCGTCGCGCGCCTCGTCAGCCATGAACAACCAGAACAACAATCATGCCCGCGACTCGCTCTCGTCGCAAACCTCCTTTGAATCCGATCCCAACGACTCAACACCAGACTCGGACGAAGACAAGCAGCTCTCGAGCGATCCCACTCAACAGCCGCTCTCCCCCGTCGCCGAATCCCCAATTTCCAACCTCCGCTATCCAAAGGTGCCGCGTGCTTCGAACCAGCGCGTTGCGCGCTCTCCGCGCAGTCCGGGCGCAGGCTTCGGTCCTGCTTTGATGAATCGCGGGCCAAACAGCTTCACGACGCCGACCAAGAAAGCGGTACTCCTTGCCCGTCGCGGCGCCATCTCCCCTCCATCCCTGCTTTCCAAACGCAACAGCGCGCTCCCGCCTCTTCTCTTGGAGTCGAGGCCCAGGCTGCATAGTCCGCCTCGCGACCCTTTTGTTTCGCCGGCGAGGGCGAGGGGTCATGGGCGGAGTGTTAGTGCGGGGTTGGCGGATGTGGGGTCGTTGGTTGGGCGTGATGGGATGGGGGATGAGCGGGATGTGGTGAGGCCATTGAGGGTGAGGGGGAGGTGGGAGGAGGGTGGTGTTGGTGGTGAAGATGTTGGTGCTGGTGTTGGTGCTGGTGCTGGATCTGCAAGAGCAGGGCCAGAGGGTGGGGAGTTGATGAGTCCAGTTTGGGTTCCTAGGTTGACGCCGACGAGGAAGGGGGAGGATTTGTGGATTCGAGTTGGGTGGTGAGAGGGGTTTTTTTTTCTTTCTTTTCGTATATATATATATATGTATTGTGTTGTAATCTTTCCTTTTTCCGGGAAAGTTGTTCTTCTTTTCGGGGGAGGGGATGGGATGGGATGGGAAGAGTGGAATGTGGAGAGTGGAGAGCGGAGAGCGGAGAGCGGAGAAAGTGACGAGGATGACGGATGTCGTATGCACCCCTTTTTTTTTTCTTCTTTGCGTCTTGTACAATTATCAGGCAGATAGATACCCGTGGTGTAGACCGTTGCATTTATTTTATTCTTGTTTGTTTTACTTGATCTCTCCTTGTCCTCATACCATGGAATCTGTAGCCTCCAAGTAGCAGAGTGTCTACTTTTTCCCTCTCCCCTTTTTTGTTTTGTACATTCTAGTATCTCTACTTGGTCCTGCGCATTCTGTCTTGTTTACTGTTCACACTCACACCGCGGGGGGAGGGGGGGGGGGGGGCCAAGTCTGGAGTACGAGTTTTTGGTTATTTTTTATTTTATTTTTTCTCCTCTTGGTTTTGCCAATTTTGCGAGGGTTGGTTAGGGTGGGTAGATTAGCCGGTAGTTTCGAGCCGAGATAGTTAAGTCGAGTTTGGCACGCGACGGGGTTTGGGATTTGTGTATCGTTGGCTGTGAAGGAGGGGCGTTTTTTGTTCACACTGTTTTGGGGGTTGGGATGGGAGATGGTAGGATATCAGTTGGCGGGGGCGGGGATGCAGGGTCGTGATTGTTTAGTTGTGGCATGCGGTGTCTGTGTACATTTGTATGTGCAGTTTGTGCTCGTGATTATTCATGTCTGATGTTGTACTATCTTGTGGTTGTCTGCACAGAATCCAACATCTCCGATTCGGCCGCGGCGCCGATTCCGTGGCTTTGATAGGTGGATGGGTTGATTGGCGGGGGAGCGTGTATGCCACCGGTTAGAAAGCGGGAATCTTGGGAGTTATGGGGACGGAATTTGCTTCTGGCGGTGCTGGTACGGTATTGTGCGTGTCTCGGGTGGGGGTGGAGATGGCAAGGTCGGCATTTGAAATGAAATAGGGCACCGGGGGTTTATACCACGACGCCACTCTTTGTAGCCTGCATACATTGGAGGCAACGGAATGAGGCAGCCATGACGGCGGGCCATGAAGATGAAAATCATCCAGTGGCTTAGTACCCTATCACCCATTGATTGTTCCGCCGTCCACGTCCACTGCAAACCCTCCCCCCCCCCCACTAATCGCTGGTTGAGAAAAGACTGGGGCCCGTACAAATCTCTAAGCGCATCCCCAACGACCCGCGTCATCTGGCATCCACCTTTTCTGTCTCTTCTCTCTCTTCTCTCTCTTCTCTCTCTTCTCTCTCTTCTTCTTCTTCTTCTTCTTCTTCTCTTTTCCCACTCCCACACTCCACACACCACGAGAGAAGTCTACCCAGTACTGCCTGTCTGCCCATCATGCCGTACGGAAAGGTCGACGAGCTCGCCATCAACACGATTCGCACGCTTGCGGTATGTGAGCCCCATCTGCCCCTCCGTTGCTGGCTTCCTTCAGCCATATCCATCCTTCCTCTCTCTCTCTCCCCCCTCCCCCACCTCGACACTTTGAGCCCCGCCACCACAGCATAGCAGAGCACAGCACAGCAACAAGCTACCCCGCCATGGCCAACACCTGAAGAGACAAAAGTCATCCCACTACAACAACAACAACAACAAACAAAAAGAAACAAAAAGAAACAAAAAGAAACAAGAGAAGCCATTGCTGACCAAGACGTGAATCAATCCAGGTCGATGCCACATTCCAGGCCAACTCTGGCCACCCGGGCGCCCCTATGGGCATGGCCCCAGTGGCTCATGTCTTGTTCAACAAGTTCATGACCTTCAACCCAAAGAACCCCGACTGGGTTAACCGCGACCGATTTGTGCTTTCGTACGTCCCTTTTGTTTTCCCACATCTTCTATCCGGAGGCTCCAGACGCCCGCATGGGGAGCTGTTGGGCGGACATCACGGGTGCAAGTGGGGCTCTCCCGCCTTTCTGCCACAACAGCGGGTGTGGGAGATTGGCTTGCTGAGCCATTCGGCGGTTGCGGACACTATGAAATCTCGAACATCCGGGCGCATCCACTACTCGCCCACTTCCTGCCTACTGCGCTCGCCTTGCCGGCTTTTTTCTTCTCAAACGACAATGGCTGACTGATGTTGTAGCAACGGTCACGGATGCATGCTCCAGTATGCGCTGCTCCACCTGTTCGGCTACAAGGTCACCATTGACGACTTGAAGAACTTCCGTGTAAGTTCCCCCACCCCACCACTTTTCTTATTCGTCTGAACCCCCAATTAACCTCGTGCAGCAAATCGACAGCATCACACCTGGTCACCCAGAGTCCCACGACACCCCCGGTATCGAGGTCACAACCGGTCCCCTCGGCCAGGGTTTTGCCAACGCTGTCGGTCTCGCCATTGCCGAGAGGCACACTGGCGCCGTCTTCAACAAGCCCGGCTACGAGCTCATCAACAACTACACGTACACATTCTTCGGCGATGGCTGCTCCATGGAGGGTATTGCCAGCGAAGCGGCTTCCATGGCCGGTCACTTGAAGCTCGGCAACCTCATTGCCATCTACGACGACAACCACATCTCCATTGGTAAGTCTTGCCGCTGACATTCGGTCGGGCTCGACAACTGACGTGACCTGCAGACGGTGACACCAAGTGCGCCTTCACAGAGGACGTCTCCAAGCGGTTCGAGTCATATGGCTGGCACGTGCAGCACGTCGAGAACGGCGACACGGATCTCGAGGCCATTGAAAAGGCCATTGCCGAGGCCAAGAAGGTGACCGACAAGCCCTCGATGATCAAGCTGACGACCACCATTGGCTTCGGCTCCAAGCTCCAGGGAACCGGCGGTGTCCACGGAAACCCCCTCAAGGCCGACGATGTGAAGCAGGTCAAGGAGAAGTTTGGCTTCGATCCCGCCAAGACGTTTGCCGTTCCCCAGGAGGTCTACGACATGTACCACAAGCACGCCGCCGAGGGTGCCGCTGCGGAGGAGGAGTGGAACAGGACGCTTGAAAAGTACAGCAAGGAGCACCCAGAACTCGCTGCTGACCTCAAGCGCCGGCTGAACCGCGACCTGCCCGAAGGCTGGGTCGAGAAGCTCCCCACGTACAAGCCCTCAGACCCCGCAATCGCCTCAAGAAAGCTCTCCGAGAGCGTTCTCGAGGCCATTCACGACGCTGTTCCCGAGCTGCTCTCTGGCTCTGCTGATCTGACTGGCTCCAACAACACGCGCTGGAAGAATGCAGTCGACTTCCAGCCTCCGGATCTCGGTATCGGTGACTGGTCTGGCCGCTACCTCAGGTACGGTGTCCGTGAGCACGCCATGGCTGCGGTCATGAACGGAATGTGCGCATACGGTACCATTATTCCCGCTGGAGGTACTTTTCTCAACTTTGTCTCCTATGCCGCCGGCGCTGTCCGCCTGTCCTCGCTCTCACACCAGCGTGTCATTTACGTTGCGACGCACGACTCGATTGGCCTGGGAGAGGATGGCGCAACCCATCAGCCCATTGAGACTCTTGCCCATTTCCGTGCCCTGCCCAACATGATGGTCTGGCGCCCGGCTGACGGCAACGAGACTTCTGCTGCCTACTACATGGCACTGACGTCGAAGCACACTCCCTCGATCCTAGCCCTGACCCGTCAGAACTTGCCACAGCTCGAGGGCTCGACGCTCGAGAATGGCATCAAGGGTGGATACACTGTGCTCGAGGACAAGGATGCCCAGATCACGCTCGTTGCCACTGGTTCCGAGGTTTCACTCTGTCTCGAGGCTGTCCAGACGCTCAAGGAGCAGGGCATCAAGGCCCGCGTTGTTTCGTTGCCTTGCACAGAGGTCTTTGACGCGCAACCAAAGGAATACAAGATGAAGGTCATTCCAGGTGGCATCCCAGCGCTCAGCGTCGAGGTCATGTCGACGCTCGGATGGGAAAAGTACTCGCACGAGCAGTTTGGTCTGAACCGGTTTGGTGCCTCGGGACCTTACAAGGAGGTTTACAAGGTACGTTTTCCCGTTTGAGGAAGCAGTGTCGATGTTGTAGGAAGAGAAGCTGACAAGCCAACAGAAGTTTGATTTCACACCCGAGGGCATTGCGAAGCGGGCCAAGCTGACCATTGACTTTTACAAGGATGTCAAGCCCCTGCGCTCTCCTCTTGACCGTGCGTTTGAGCAGCTCATTTAGAGGGCTGTTGATGGAAAGTTGGTCGGGCAAGGGTTCAAGTGGTTTGCTCAGTTGAGGAGAAGGCATAGAAGTCAATCAAAGTACATTGTTCTAGCCGTAATCGCAAAGCTATGCGTTGGAGACGTATCATTGATGTACCGCAGTATGCGTGATTGATGGGCTCTCTACAGATGCCCTCCCATGACTATCTTGAAAGTTGATGCAACCTCTTGTTGGCAGAATCGATAGAATCGAGGTGCAAGTGGCTGTACCCTTCACACGCCATGTCATGTTATCCAGCCACCAGACTGTGCCCGAGACACGGCGCCAGATCTGCAAATCGACAGGGTTGGGCGAGTTGCTGTCTCTTCTGCATTTTGCAATGTCATGTCATGTGATGCGTGCAGCGCAATGCAGCACACCGCAGCTAGTGCTTCCATTTTTGGGCAGAAGGGTGAATGGAGAAGTGGTCGCAAAAACCAATATCCCACCATATCCCAATGGATATACATCTCCCACAAACGGGCTGGGGTAGAGAGTCATCACTTTTGCCCCAGTTTCTGCGTGCGACGGGGCAAGGGGAATTGGCTATCGATAACGATGCGGGAAACGAGAGGGATGTTTTATGACGCGGGGGCGCGCGTAAACGTTTGTCTGGCTGTTCTGCTTGTCTACCTAACTACTTGTTTACGCCTTTTTACGGGATTGGTAGGGGTGTTGGAGTTGGAATTGGGATTGGGTTTCGACGGCGATATTGGGTTTGGGTTTCGACGGCGATATTGGGATTGGGTTTCGACGACGCGATCTTGCCATTGGGATTCAACGACATGCCATCCCACACCCACGACCCAAGCTCCAGCCCGCGCCGAAGCCGAACATTGCGAACGCACCAGACGCAGCGAGACGAGTCCCCCATTTCGAGCATGTCGCATCGCTCACCCACTGCGAGTCGCGATGCCCAACCTTTGAGTCCTGCGAAGGGCAAGAGTGGTGACATGAACTCTACCACAAGCAGCACCGCCACCACCTCCACCACCAGCATCTTCACCGTCCCCGCCCCAATCAAACACCTCTTCGACAAGTTTCCGCTCCAAACGTACGCCGCGAACGGGTTGCCGCAGCGGGCACCGCGACAGCGGGATGTACATGTGCTGTATGTCTTCGCAGGCGAGGAGGGCCGCAGTTTCCACCCAGCGTGTTTAAAATGGGAGGTATGTTTTCCCCCTACCGAGTATCCAATACCTATGTAGATCTCATTTCACTAATTTCCATGCAATACCCCACCAGGCCTATCTCCGCTTCAACAAGATCCCATTTCGCATCGCCCGCTCAAATAACCACGCGAGTCCCAGTGGGTCATTGCCATTTTTACTCCCCGCCCAGACAGACGGCAAGCCGCAGAGCCAGCCCGTGCCGTCGGCGAAACTGCAGAGATGGGCGATGCTGAATAGTGGGATGGAGGGCGGAATTCAGGAGCCTGGGGATATACGATACGAGGCCTATCTCAGTCTCATCGAGCACAGGATTAGAAGAGCTTGGGTACGTACCCCCTCTTATAGGGAAAGAAGGAATCCACTAACAAACCCAAGCTCTACACAATCTACCTCTCCCCCCCAAACTCCCCACCCTCTACACCCCTCTACATCCTCCCCACAACCACAAACCCCCTCGTCCGCCTCTCCCTAGCCCACTCCCTCCGCCAAGCAGCAACCTCCCAACTCCTCCTCCACACCCCCACCATCCACCCCTCCACCCTGCTCGCCCAAGCCGACGAAGCCTTTGCCGCCCTCGACGCCCTGCTCGGCCAGGATTCGTGGTTTTTTGGCGCGGGGCGCCCGGGGCTGCTGGATGCAAGTGTTTTTTCGTATACGGATTTGGTGATGAGGGGGGTGGGGGAGGGGGGGTTGGGGGGGTGTGTTAGGGGGAGGGGGGGGTTGGTGGCGCATTGGGAGAGGTGTTTGGGGTGGGGGTGGGGGGATGGAGGTTGAGGGGTTGGATGGGATGGGCAAGATGGGATGGATGGGTTAGGACGGGGAAGATGGTGGAGATTAAGCTAGTGCTGACCAAGGCCGTGGAAAAAAACAAGTCTAGGATGTGTTTGTATGGGTGAAATGTGTATACTGTTTCTTCTTGTGTTTCTTCCTGTGTTTCTTCTTCTTGCTATTCCTATTTCCTCTTCCTATATCCCCACCTTTTCTTTTTATTCTCGCTTTTCACTTCCTCCTCTTCCTCTCTTGCCCCCTTTCTCATCCATCCATACATACATACATCCACACATCCACATACAAAAAAGGACAAGTATAAGCAAGGGGTTTTTAATACTTTGCTAGGATATGATGGGGATACATGGGATATACAGGATACATTTATTATTCTTCCTTGCCCTTGCCCATCCTGCTCTGTTTCCGTTTCCGATTCCATACCAATTCCCCTTGTCCTTGCCCTTGCCCATCCCATCCTGTTCTGTCTCCGCCCCGATTTCCCCTACATGTCACGATACTCATGTGAAGGGTTTGGGATTGGCTTTTTTCTTCTTTTTTTGGCTGTTTTGTAGGTTGGGGGGTTACCGCGGAACCACGGAACGGATTCGATTCTTTATACGGTCTCGGCTACGTCCTGTCTTGCACCTGGCTTACCAGACCGCGGGGTCTGGGGTGGAAGCTTGTTTGCTGGGGCTGGGTGGGGGAGGGGAGGGGGGAGATGGCGAGGCTGGGCCCGAGGCTCGCTTGCTGGGAGTAGGGGGTGGGGTAGAAGGCGGAGGAGAGGGAGAGGGGGATTCACGGTCAATGCTCCTCTTGCTTGGGCTTGGTGGTGGAGGAGAAGAGGAATCAAGTCCACAGTCTCTATTGCTTGGGCTGGGAGGCGGAGGAGACGGCGGGGCTGGAGAGTCTGGAGAGTCTGACCCAGTGTCCCTCTTGCTCGGGCTTGGCGGAGGAGCAGAAGGAGGAGAGGGGGAATCAGGTCCCCGCTTACTGGGACTGGGTGGAGGATCAGAAGGCGGAGGAGACGGAGAGTGGGAACCACGTCCGCTGCCCCTCTTACTAGGACTTGGTGGTGGAGGCGAGGGAGGGGACGGAGAGTCTGGACAGTCTAGTCCACCATCCCTCCTGCTAGGACTAGGTGGAGGACCAGAAGGTGGAGGGGATGGAGAGGGGGATCCTCGTCCAATGCTCCTCTTGCTTGGGCTTGGTGGTGGAGGCGAGGGAGGGGACGGAGAGTCCGGGCCAGAACCTCCATCCCTCATACCAAAACCCAACCCGCAATCCAACCCACAATCCAACCACACCGACCCGCAAAGCCTACCCCGATCCAAACTATAAGACATGCCCTGTACCCATTCATCCATTAGTACCACGACACAATTCAATTCCCTCTGTTGGTGGGAAAAGGAGGGGGGGACTTACACAAGGGACAGGCGAAAGACAGAGAGTTGACATTTTTGTAAATGGGGTGGGAGTTGGGGATCAAGGTTGTTGGAATTACGGAGAGTTGGGTTGGGTTTGTGCGAGTGTGTTAAAGACGATGTGATACAAGTTTGTTGTAGGCCTGTTGTAGTACTAGATTGCAAATGTGCCTTTCGCCGTAGTTTTCGTAGTTTCCGCAGTGGTATTTATGATTTTCGCAGTGAATTCCCGTTGTCCTTGTTCTCGTTATACTTGACCGTAGACTCTGAAATTCGCTCTTTCCGTTATACCGAAACAAAAACCCAGCGCCACAGCCCCAGTTTATATACTTTTCCTGCTCTACAAGAATTGAATGCAGATATAGCATATACGTGTGTATATCGTGAAGACAGGGGCAAGTTCGTTCGTGGGGTGAGGGTGTATACTGCACTGACTGTTGCTTGTTCAATGAGAACTTGACTGGTTCAACAAGGGGCGGTGGTGTTTCCAAGGAAGGAGTTGTTGAGGGGGGAATGCTGGAATAGAGGGGGCGTAATGGAACGGTCTTGGTAGGGGGGAGGTATGTGGGTGATGGGAAGCAGTTTGGTCTGCGATGGAGGGGGTACATCAATAGCTATTGCGGCTGGTGGACGGTGTGCGTTGTTGGACTCAACAAGAGCTCTCTTCACATTGGGCAATCCTAGGGTGAGTGCTCGATGGTCTATACCATGTCTCGTTGGAGTCCGAGAATCGGATGTCACGCAAACAAGCATTGCGAGTGGAGGTTCAATTGTTTGGTAGATTGATGCTATAATACGTAGTCATGCAAAATAGACATTAATCAACGTACAGAAATTAGATGACGTCGAGTCAAAGTGTGCATATTTGGAGCCAAAACAGGGCCAGCCAGTCTGGCAAGAGAAATGGGGTATATCCAACAGTAGCTGCTCCACCTCTGGACAGCAAGCGCAAACGTATCAGGATGGAACATGATTACAAGAGCGTAACGAAGGTAGCGTCCAAGGGGTATAGTAAACGCAAAGGGCCGGACTGGCCGGGTATGAGAACGTATAGCGAATATAGAAGATCGTACAGGGGGTAACATGTAAACCGCTAAGTGAGAAATCGCTAACGCAAACATGAATTGTTGAGAAGAGATCAAACAACGAAAAAGGTTATACTCATGCCATCATCATCAGTCGCGTTCCTCGCTTTTGGAGGTTGCGTGGCTTGTAGCCTCCAGGCCCCAAGTGGTTTCGTGGCGGAGCTGCTGCACTCTGTGCATGGCGATCACAGTATCTACGTCCGTTGACATCGAAGTAGCCGTCGCGAAGCACCATGCGACAAGTCGTGCACGTAAAGCATCGAGGATGATACTTGCGGCGCATGTCCGTCTCCAGATATTGACCTTCAATACCGCGATTGCAAGCTCCGCACAAGGACCCGTTGAGCCGGTGGTAGTGGTGTTCACAGTAAGGAGCATTCTCAAACACGTAGAACTCTGCAGTTGGAAAGGGATCCGAGCAAGTTCGGCAGACAAAACACTCTTTATGATAACGACCAGTCAGACGACCAGAGGAGTCCTTGACAGACTTCCCGATGATGGGTTGAGAGCATCCGCGGCAGTTCCCTTTGCTGCTCGGAGCGCTCGGTCGTCGGCCTTCGGGTTGTCGTGTATCGGGGCTGGCAGTGCGCGGTGGGCTCCGTCCTTGGATCGTTGCAGGGTCTACAGCGGGGGCCAATTCGCTTGGACGTCTAACGAAAGTACCACGTTGAATGGCAGGATCCATTGGAGATTCCGGTGGGTTGGGGAATCCTGGAGACAATGAACGCGGAGCTATACGAGGCCCATCTTGCCGGGTATGACTGCTTGCTCCTCTAGAAGGTTGAGCATCGCTATACGACCCAGGACTTTCGGTTCTTGGGACCCTCTCAACATCGTGGTCAGTATGGCTCAATTTAGAAGGTTCGTGGGATGGTCCGACAACAGAATTCGACGGACTTGACCGCGAGCTGGCCACGCTACGGAAACCAGAGCTCGCATACGAATCGTCTGACAAGCCTGAATCGGATGGAGTGTGGAGTGAATTGAAGGAGGTTTCAATGGCAGGTCTTGATGTAAGCAGCGGTGGTGGTCGCAACGCTGGGCCAGGTCCAGAGCTTCTTGCTACTTCTACCTCCGAGTCGTTTCGGCCGGAGTCCCTTGAACGAAGCCGACTGTGTGAGCGAGCGACAATCTCCAAGGCAGCCAGATCATTCATGTTGCTCGGCGGAAGGTCGCGCTCAGACGGCCTTCTGGGTCGTGGTGGTGGTTGTCTTCGATCACGACTTGTCGGCCGCACAGGTTGCATATTTAAGTGGCTATCTTTCCTTGGCTGTGGAGATTCAGCAGTATCTTTCTGCAGACTCTGAAGAAACGCATCGATGCCTAATTCTCCCTCAGTCTGCTCGGTCGTGGACGCGAGTGTAGACGCTGCCCCCCGGTTCAAGCCGTGTCTTGGTGACATTGTCGAGTACGCAGAACTGCGGGTCGAACTCGATGCTGATGACTTTCTCTGGGGCTGTGTACTTCCATAGCTTTTGACACTATCCTGCGTATTGGTCCGTACTAGGCCATGTGCTGGCGTGTCTTTCACAGATGGTGCGGAAACACTTGCCGTACTTGGCCGGCGATCAAACGGTCCAGGTGAAATTGTGTCTAATCGTCTGGAGATATTCTCTCCCGCATTCATACGGGGACTCAGCGGAGCGAACAATGGGCTCGGTGCGGCATATCCGTATTGCGCATTTGGTTCTAGACGGTCTCTTGGACGAGGGCTACTTCGTGGACTTTCGCTCTTTCCTGGGAATGGAGGGAACGCACAGTCCAAGTTTGAGTTGAGGTCGGGCGAGGATTGTGCGGTTGCTCGCGGCAGTGGAGTTGTTGCACTGCGGTTCATGGGGAAGGGCGACTTGGGTGGTTGCAGGTCGGCAGATCTTGCTGAGCGCTGCGATGAATCATTGTTGTTGCTCTTAGGCGAAAGCTCCACTGGTCGGAATGGTTTATCTTGCAGGCCGTCAGCATTCTCACTAGGACGAGGTCGTCGGATATACCTACTCGCTGCGTTGGGATCGATCTGAGGGGGGAGGGGCATGCGCCCTCTTGGTATCGAGCCATCTGGTCTGTTCCTGAAAGTTGGGCCGCCAAAAGTAGCAGCGCGACTGATGCCCGGTGATTTTGGGGACAGTGTTGAAGCCGATGACGTCGGCGAGGACGGTGTTTGGTTTGAAGTCGCTGGGTCTATCAGCTTGAGTCAATGTTCAGTACTTGCTGTACTCACTTGCGGATGGGGTTTTGGCACAGACATGGTCTGCAAGGTGTAGAATGTCGATCTCAGTTGCGCATGAAGAACATTTGATAGTTGGTAGGTTGCTCATTCGGTCCATATTGGCGAGCAATATACTGTGTCAGTCTGTCGACAAACACTCTGGCCTGATTGAGTGGAAGATGCCTGCGTCTGACCCTCGAAGACGACTGTGTGTGTACGCCGAGAAAGTTACCCTGGGCGACCTACTATAGGTAGTAATGCTGTCTGATCTCCGGAATTGGTGGGACCTGCTGCATCAGGGGAAACGATGTGGCATTGGTGCCGAATTGGCTTGGATCTGACAATGGCAGCGGGAAAATAACTAGCGTGTCTCTATCAGCACCATGGTCCGTTTGAAGCCCCACAAGCGACACTCCCAATGTTGGATGTTTGGTTGCTTATGAAAGTTGACTAGGAAACTCTTGGAGCAAATGTGCTCATACGGGCCACACAGAGCTCACAGTGAGGCGTAAAGCGTTCGAGTTCATCAAGGCCAATTTTCTAACTGGCCAGAGAGACGCGCGCAATTCGAGGTCCCTAATCCTCCTGCACGTAACCCGTGTGTCCCTGAGTCGTGGCGTTGGTGGTGGTACTGCGCGACTCGCATGATTTGACCAAAGGAACGCTTGGATGTGCACGGTGTGGCGGCTTCCACACTCTCTAGTGTCTACGCCCAGGCCAGTCAGACATGTTTGACTGACCAGAGATGTGATGAAACTGTTACCCGCCGACCAGTGTCTCGTGCGTATCGCAACCCATGACGAGAGTATTCTTCGATCCAGATTCCAGCTCGAAGATCTCGTTCGTGCCGAGTGCTGGTAGTACAAGTACTCGCAAGGCAGCGAGCTCCACGAGACGGCCAAGCTGGCTGCAATAGCGATTGGGAGGCTTACGAATAGAGCCGCAAGCTGTCCATGCGCAGGAATCATCATTCGTACCGAATATTGACTTTGCACTTGATTGGACATTGTTATCATCTTCCGATCGGCGCTCATGTGGTCGATGCATGGACTATTGATGCAATGCACAACCCCTTTTGCCATGGCTGACGACTGCAAACTGCGCTCTTCTCGAAAGCCGTTTCCTTGCCAGCAGGCCCACAAGACGACCCCGTCATCCTGCTCCAGAGGACTAAGTTTCAAACAATGTATCGCCAGAGTATCGCCAGAGTATCGTCAGACGACTATCAGTCTGACATGAGTGTTGACCGCATAGCATCTGACAAGACCGGTGCAACCTCCGTTGAACGGCTGCATGGTTCCCCTAGTGACCTGGCTAAGGAATGGATCGTCTCCCCCAATTTCATATGCAGGTTGCCGCATCGGTCTGCCCCACAAGCGACTTGGAGTCTTGGACGTTCAACTCTGGACGTGTTTCCTGTCCACTGTCTGTTGTATGCTGAGTACTCTATGGACATTTATCCGCAAGCCCATGGGTTTCGATTAGATAGTTTAGACCAGATTGTACGTATGTATTCAGCCGATGGGAGCGCGGAAGATACGGCCATGTTCTGACGGATTTTTCACGCTCTCCCCTCAGGCACGAGTGTCGTGTGGCTGCCTCTGCGAATTCGAAAACATAGTTGACGCTGAAGGAGTCTCAGACTGGTATTGTCTCGCTGTGACGCCATCATCACATGCGCTTCCTCCGAAAACATGCTTAGAGATGACAACATAGACTTGGGTGATTTGTTTGGTGCTGTTGCAGTGAAGGAAAGTTCAGCTTTGATGGGATAGGGCAAGTGTGTATCGTGGTAGTTGTGCAGAAGCGATGCCAGATGCTCTTTGTGCAGTTACCCGAGTGAGGATCCCTGACCAAAATTGGCTGCGATCTGGGCAGAAGGCAGAAACACGTGATAGCGGCGCACGACCAGTAGCCCTCGTTCGTCTTGTCGAAGTGAAGTTGAACACTTCTCAGTGTCCCATCCCAGTTCGTGGAGGAGAGTGGAGGAGAGGAGAGCTGGCGTTATGGACATTGTTGGCAATCGTCCACTCTTCCATCCACCATCATCGTAAAAACTCAACACTCCTCATAGATCGCCATTCTTCCGCTGCAAGGCCCAAGTCTCCAGGCAGTGTCGATGTGTCCTTCGTTTCTACCTTCCCACTGTGGTTGAAGCTGCTGCATGCTGACATTAGGCGTGCGATAGATAGCGGGGCGCGACGAGCACGTCAAGGACCTGTTCACTACTGTCAATTGGCTTTCCTTGCTGCCAACAAGCCATCGCCGTGCGGTTGAATGGAAAAGTGGAGCGCGAGGTGAAGAAGCGGTGGGCGTAGTCAACGATGGCCGGCAGCAGGCGGACGCCAAAGAAGTTTGGTACCGTACTGTTTAGCGATAGGTGCCCCAAGGTAGCCGCGACGGGACCGAGGGGCACTTTATATATCGCGACCTCCGCCTCCTTGCCTTTGTGACCTTCATCCCCTCCCATCAAAGGCTTTTCAATCCTGATACCAGACAATTGACAGGCTTTCGAATCTCTCTCCACCTCATCTAGCACAAATTCATCTTCCAGGGCCATTGCCCAGTAGTCAAGACGTTTTCCAATCTCCTCAGCTCGTATGTATAGCCCCTCCAGCATTCACTTGCTCCTGTCTGGACTCCTGGACTGACCCGAGTTTCCAGCGTCCACAACCCATTCGCCGGCCGACGTACTTCTCCTTCTGGGGCAGCGTCGGATCTAGACTTCCGCAATTAAGTTCATCTCGCTGTAAAGCCAAGAAGACTTCTATCAACATCAATCATGGCACCTCACGCGGAAGAACGCGTCGGCAATGCGAATGGGTTGGACACCAAGACGGACTCCCCCAGGGATCTCTTTGTTGTTGACTCACCCAATGTCCAGTATACCGAAGAGAGCATCAGGTCAAAGTACACTTACCGTACCACGGACGTTGTCAAGAACGCCGACGGCAAGTATGTCGCCGTGCCCAAGGAGACCCTGTACGACTTCAAAGTCGACCGCAAGATCCCCAAGGTCGGAGTGATGCTCGTCGGCTGGGGTGGCAACAACGGTACCACTGTCACGGCCGGTATCATTGCCAACAAACGCAACCTCACCTGGGAGACCAAGGAGGGCAAGCGCAGCGCCAACTACTACGGATCAGTCATCATGAGTTCTACTACCAAGCTTGGTGTAGAGAGCAAGACTGGCAAGGACATTTACATTCCTTTCCATGATCTTCTGCCCATGGTCCACCCCAACGATCTCGTCGTCGGTGGCTGGGACATCAGCGGCATGAACCTCTCTGAAGCCATGGATCGCGCCAAGGTCTTGTCTCCTTCGCTCAAATCTCTCGTTCGCAAGGAGATGAGCGCCATGAAACCTCTGCCCAGTATTTACTATCCCGACTTCATTGCTGCCAACCAGGAGGAGCGCGCCGACAATGTGCTCGAGGGTACCAAGGCCTCCATGGCTCATGTTGAGCAGATCCGCAAGGACATTCGGTAAGTCCAACTCTTCTGGCAAAGACGATTGCGTCACTGACAGAATTACAGTGATTTCAAGGCAGCCAACGGTCTGGACAAGGTCATCGTGCAGTGGACTGCCAACACGGAGCGTTTCGCTGATATAATTGAGGGCGTCAATGACACTGCAGACAACTTGCTCAAAGCCATCGAATCTGGTCATGAGGAGGTTGCACCCTCGACTGTTTTCGCTGTGGCCTCGATCCTCGAGGGTGTTCCTTTCATCAACGGGTCTCCTCAAAATACGTTCGTTCCAGGTGCCATCCAGCTAGCCGAGAAGCACAACGCTTTCATTGGTGGCGATGACTTCAAGTCTGGACAGACCAAGATGAAGTCTGCCCTTGTCGATTTCATGATCAACGCCGGCATCAAGCTCACTTCCATTGCCAGCTACAACCATCTCGGGAATAATGATGGCATGAATTTGAGCTCGCAGAAGCAGTTCCGTTCCAAGGAGATTTCCAAATCCAATGTTGTCGACGACATGGTTGCTGCCAACAATGTTCTCTACAAGGATGGCGAACACCCTGATCACTGCGTCGTCATTAAGTACATGCCTGCTGTTGGAGACGACAAGCGTGCACTCGATGAATACTATGCGGAGATCTTCCTGGATGGTCACCAGACCATCAGCATGTTCAACGTCTGCGAGGACTCTCTTCTGGCTTCGCCTTTGATCATCGACTTGGTCCTGGTTGCCGAGATGATGACCCGTGTCCAGTGGAAGGCTCACAGTGGCGAGGCCAGCGATGCCAAGTTTGCTGGATTCCACAGCGTGCTCAGCGTGCTCAGCTACATGTTGAAGGTATGTTTTCCACCATGCAAGGATTACCAGGGACACCCATTAATATTTTTAGGCACCTCTTACTCCTCCTGGGACTCCTGTCGTCAACGCTCTTGCCAAGCAGCGTGCGGCTCTCACCAACATCTTCCGTGCCTGTGTCGGTCTTGAGCCTGAGAACGACATGACCCTTGAGCACAAGCTCTTCATGTAGGCAGATCGGTGACTACCTGAAGGAGGTAGGGCACGAGCACTGGAGGTATTACGAAGTGCAGACCCGGAGACGAAGATTTTGATATTTGCGATTTGATTTGACCAACTCTATACGCTCATTGAACCAATACACAACACTTGCGAGTTACTAGATGGATTCCATGACGTGAGATGTATCCGCTTCACCCGCTCCGCATTTGCTACTGCTGTGAAAGTCTGTAGAGTTCGCTGTCCTAGACAAGGGTGAGCTAGACACTATCAAAACAGAAACCAGTCAACAGCCACAAAGGCGTGGAAGAACTCAAACGTTTGGAGTCACTGAGAGCTGCTAAGATCGTAACTTGCCAAGGTTCATGGAGCTGTCATGAATGGTAGGGGCGTTCCTTCCACGACATCAGATCCTCACCTGAACACCCAAGTCTGTCAAACACGAGACGAAGTGTTCGAAGCAATGATGCCAGCCTCGTCTTCAATACAGTCCTATTTCACGTCTTCTTCGTCGCCAACAAAAAATAGCGATGGCTTCACAGCGGCAGAATTACAGTCTTCGCTGGAGGAAGCAGGAGCTACCCTTGCCAGCACATGGACTGTACATGAACCCATCCGTCCCCCTCACATCCCGCTCTCAGATGACTGACATGAAGCAGCCAGTACTAGAGTATGAAGAGGTCTCCCTTGGTGATCTCGAGCCTGGTCCTCGCAACCTGCAACTCATGGGCCGCGTCGTAAACTACTACGACACCGCCAAACCCAGCAAATCACACAAAGCCGCTCAAGGCTGCCTGAAGATTATGCTAGCAGACGACACTGGTGTCCTTACCATTCGTCTCTGGTATGCCCACACCATGTACAAGATTCGGCTTGGTCAGCTACTTACGGTCTGGACGGTACACGTTAGCAACAGCTCTGACCACAATTCGCTGGCGCCGAGCAGTGCGCCACTTTTTACTAGTCTATTTCCTGAGGGTGAGAGAAATTGTTTTGTCATGTTACATGAAAATAGCGACGATGGGACACAGTTTAGGCGGCCGTTTGGCTGTCGAGACTCGAAGGTGTTGGAAGGGCTGATGACGTTGAAGGGGTTTACGGATGGGGGGTATGATGTGGAAGAGCCAAAGGTGTTGGTGTGTGTCAAGAGCATTGGGGCGAAGAAGAAGTGTATGTGCTTTGCTCTTCTCTCAATTCTCCCTCTAACCTGCTGCTTCCCCAATTACTCTTGTCTCCCACCCCAGTAGACTCTCAGCGTTGAATTGCATTTTAACAAGAAATTACAACAGATCTAAACCGCAACGGCACAACCTCCACCGTACTCTCGCTGGGCATTTTCGACAACACCGCCGAAGCAACTCTGAACTTGTACTCCTCCCTCTGCTCATCCGCCTCGCATCTCACACCCTCCCACTCCATCCTCCTCATCTCCAACCCCGGCTGGCGCATCGACAAAACCGCAAAACTCTCCCTCAACGCAAACTCCCGCATAGACATCGACCCCAACCTCGGGGACGCCCGCCGTCTACGCGCCTTAGCACAGCGCTTAACCAAGAAGGAACATGTCAATCCGCCTTTTCCCATTGCAGCAGAAGAGATGAGGGAAATTGTCAAGACGTTTGAGGGAGCGGCGCAACGCCCGCTGTTTACGCTGGCAGATGTCGATGACTTTGCACGCTCGAATCCGCGAGAGAGAATAGTCGGCTACCTCAGCGTCATCATCACTCAACTCAACATCGTCACGCCGTTCAAGCGTAACATGCTCATGAGCAATGAATGCTGCGGAATCCCCATCTTCGACAACGCCGTGCAGGCAACATGTAAGCAGTGTGAAAGGGATATTGAGCTGGGGATCAATCCCCGCATTGTACGTCGTACCCTCCCCCTTTTCCGTTGCACTCTCATCCCACTCCCACCCCCCCCCCCCCCCAATACTTATCCAAAACACTAAAACACCTCCCCCCCCAAAGCTCGGCCCCCTTCTCGACGAAACCGCAACCCTCAGCCCAGGCAAACTCATCCTCTCCCCAACCGCCTGGTCCCAGCTCCTCGGCCGCACTCCCGCCCAACTCGTAGCCACTGACATCCCCCGTCTGCGCTACCTCGAACAGCGTGTTTTGTTCTTGCGCGTGAGCTTGGGGTTCGTGTTGGATTTGGGGGGTGAGGAGATTGCGCGGTTGGCGGTTTGGGGGGTGGGGTGTTGAGAGGGAGAGGGAGATGGAGGTGGAGGGAGGCAAGGAGTAAAGTACCACAAGGAGAAAAAAGCACAAAATAAAAACAAACATAAAAATAAAGCTCATGCCTGTATTCTCATCCTCATGCTCATTTCTAAAAAAAATAAAAAAATCGCAGTGCCCAATTCCCATGTCCCATATCCACATTGCATTCTCATACCCGCAAAAAAAAAACCCCTCCAGGTTCAAAAGTTCAAGTCGGAGCCCAAGCCCAAGCTCAAGTCCAAGTCACCAAACCAAACCAAATAAAAGGAACAAGGTATAACCCATCCACACATCTTTGCTGCGCCAGCCTGCACGCAATGCATACATAAACAATTCCCAATCCCACTCTATCTACAAACTCTTCCTCCTGTAACCCCTAATCTCAACTCCCCCCAGAAACCCCCCCCCCCCCCCCAATCACTCCCCCCTCCCCAAAACCCCCGCCAAACCCCTCAACACATCCCCAACCCCAATACCCTCAGCACCGACCCTACTCCGAACGAGGCGCTCACGCTCATCGAGGCGCAGACTAGCGGAGCCGAGGACGGCATCGGCCACGCGATCGGCCGTGGCGCGGTATTGTTCTATTTTGTGGACGCCGTCGGCGAAGAGGTCGATTGTAGGTTCGAGGGAGGTGGCGAGGCGGGAAAGGTGGGATTGGAGGGTGGAGGGGCATGTGAATGTGAAGGGGGATTGGGGGGGGTGGATGGTGGTGGTGGTGGAGGGTTGTGATTCTGGTTGTGATTCTGGTTGTGATTCTGGTTGGGTTTGGGGTTGGGTTTGAGTGGTGGGTTGTTGGAGGGATAAGAGGATGGCGGCTTGTGCGGGGTCGAGGAGGGAGGTGTCGATTTCGGAGAGTGCGGGGGTGATATTGGGTGGTATTGAGGGTGCGGGAGGTGGGGGAATGGTGGTCGATGTGGAAGACGCGAGGGCTTCCCAGGCGGACTTTTCTTCCTCGAGGCTGGAGATGGTATTAGTGTGTTGATTGTACCCAGGAGATCTAAGATCCAGCGTACCGTTTCACTTCCTCTTCCAGGTCTTCTAGCGTAGCCTTATTCTTGTCGTTTTGTGGATTTGGCCTCTTGACCACGGGTGGAGGCGCTGTCTCTTCCTGTGTCGCAGTCAGTCCCTCATTCTTCCTCAAATCTACAAAAGGCTTCACATACTCTGCTGAACCAGTCGGATAGCTCTGGCCTGCTCGCAAAGTCGGTAATGAGTTCTTGCTGTATCGCTCGCGCTATGAACATTGTCAGTCTTTCGCCTTCATTATACTATGCGTGTACAAACTCACCCGCCATAATCGCATTCGCGTTCTTAACATCGCCCGACGGTTTCTCTGGCAGCGCTCGCGATCCACACCACGTAAGCAGCTGCTTCATCCGCCTCGGTTCAGGCAAGCTCTGCTCAATGTACTTGTAAAAATCGCGGACCTCGACTTCGGAATGTGGTAGCGCTAGGAGCTTGTCAGTCGAATTCCTTACAAGTTGCGCAGAATCTGCGAGTTCAACTCCACACTGTCAGACCAGCGCCGAATGTTGCGTCCACTCACCATTCGACATGCCACTATCAATAAGCGAGCTGGCCCGCCTGCCACGCAAGCCCGTACTGCTCCTCCTGTGCCCCTCTTTGCTGCCTTTCCGCATTTCCTTGTTGCGCGTAATCACCGGCGTATCGGCAAAGGGAAGCAAGATTTTCTGCGCATTGGGATCGCGCTTCTTGGCAACATGCAGCTCATTGTGCGTCGGTGTTTGCACGCCCGCATATGCACTTTTCTCTTCTGCTTGCGCTTCCGCCGCCGGCGTACTCTGCTTCTTGCGCTCCTTCTCCGCTGGCACACTCTTCTTTGTGCGCTTTGGGGCCGTGGTAGGTTCGACGGAGGCAGATTTCGGGCGGACTTGGAGCTGTGTCTTGTCTGCAGACAGACGCGTTGATCGCCGGATTCTCTGTGTCCCAGAAGCTTCCACCTCAATGGTTGTCGTCCTCATTGACGTCTTTTTCCGCCGCACGGGAGCTTTGGGCTGCAGTTGTAGCGCGTTCTCACTTCGCGTCGAGGAGGCTACTTGTTCCTCTGGTATAGGCTCGGGCGCGGCAACAGGCTGCGCCTTGGTCGTCCGCCTCGACGTGCGACGCGTAAACGTAAAACCATCGTCGTCCTCGTCGTAGTTTGCAGCTTTGGCCGTCTTCTTCGTCGCGGCCGTTGCCCGCTTGGTGGTGCCGTTTACTTCGGTCTTGGGGCGCTTGGGCGCCGGCGCGTCGTCGTCTTCGAATGCTTGTTTTACGCTGCGTCGTCGCGTCGTCGGTCTGTTTGTGGCCATAGGAAGCGATTGGAGGGGAGAGCGGGCAAAGATGGTGGACATGAGTCCGGCTGTTGATGTGTTGGTCGTGATTCGGGGTGTCGGTCAAAGCGCGTGCATGGGCGCGGCGAGCGAGGCACAACAAGCGGGCGGACGGGGAGAGCGCGGGGGGGGTGGCCGTGAAAGGCTATGTATGTTGGCGTTCTATTACGGCGTGTACTCGTAGGCCGAGCGTAACAATTGGGCGTGTTGTGCGGTAATGCGAATATCGAGGAGTGCGTGTGGTCACGGGTGACGGGTGACGAAGGGTGCACGGGTAGCAGTGGCAGGGCACATTGGGGGGTTGCGTTGCTTCCTCCACAGCTAGCCTGGCCCAAACAGGCAAAACGAACATGAGAAAGTAAACAAACGATGTTCACGTGATCACCCGCCTTGTACCATGTCAATCATAAAACAGATGGAGGGCTCGCATCAGCAAACCACCAAGATTACACCTCCATCTTGCATGTCTATAATAATGTTTCTACGGTAGGTTTCCAAGGAGCGGATTTCGCCTGTCATGTATATACAACCAGCCTCTGCAAAACAGCCACGTTGTGTCCGCTCGACACATGCACGCTGGGCCATAAGTATACGCTCATGCCGTTCATCAAGTCGTATCAAATCGTCACTTCAACCACTCAACACCGAGGCAAAAACTTCAAGCCCAGACCTACAGCCTAGTGCTATACCTCCATCTCCCTGCTATTTGAGACTCAACCACCTCAAAAGTCCTTCTACATGCCAGCTCCAGGCATTGGCCCCGTGACGCCCTCGGGTGCAAGACTGCCTTCGATACGGCGCTTGGCATCCTGCTTCTCCTCCATTGTGGGGTTCTGTTTGCGCATGTCGGGCACATGAGGTGGTCTATTCGGGCTATGGCCAATGGACATGCCGACGCGGATCTTGATCTTGATTAGAAATCCACTTTCGCCCAGTCATCATAGTGGAACTTACAAGTGTTTCCAACGCCGAGTTGGAATTGTCCACCAAGTCATCGTCATACCTCATCTGGCCAGGCTCGAAGAGCAACAAGAGCGTACTGCCGCCAAACTTGAAGTATCCCAATTCCTCAGCTCGCTTGACGTGGTCTCCCTTCTTCCTCGTAATCACAGTGCTACCTACCATCATGGCACCAACGCAGATGACCATGACGCGGCCATGTGCCACAGAGTCAATCGGACAAATCACACGAACGTTCTCGCCGTACACGTCAAGCGCCGAACGAATGGCCATCGGGTTGACAGTGTAGTACTCTCCTTCGATTAGCTTGGGCTCATCCATGACACCGTCTACTGGGATATGGAAGCGATGATAATCCTGCGGCGCAAGTCTGAAGATGCCCAGCGAGCCGCCATGGTAGCGCTTGGCATCTTCAGGGTAGGCATCACCAAGTAGACGTTCCACGGTAAATTCACGGCCCTTTACCCAGACGGCCTGCGCAGCGTCAATCGTGTTGAAGACGACGGAACGGCAGTCAGCAGGCGAAACAATGACACGAGGATCATCAGGCGCAGAACAGGGGCGAGCACCAGGCTTCAAAGCTCGGTAAAAGAACTCGTTGAAACTCTTGAACTTGTCGGTCGGTAGTAGCACCTCGCTCATGTCAAGCTGATGGAAGGCGATAAAGGGTGCAATCTCCGCACATGAAGCAGGGTCGTCGTACTTCTTCCCCTGTTTGAAACTGAGGGATTTCAGAAGTTTTCGGACTATCGTAGATTAGCAACCAGGGGTTTTTATTGGCAGAATTATGGTAATCACTTACTCCGTTTCTTCTCCATATTGCTCGACTTGAGACCCTTGTACAGCAAGCGGATACCAAGTCGAACATATACACTCATACGCTCTTCGTTGATCTGCCCAGTGAGACGATCTTGAACAAGGATATTGGCAGAGTTGGCGCCGAGCTTGTAGCCACCATACGATATCTTAGTGATGACCTTGGAGTACCACTTTCGTTGCGCTTGGCTAGATGTGACGAATCCAGCCATGACGATATTGTTGACCTGCCTCCAATCCTGGCTGGCGCACGTAGCGATGTGAGTAATGATATTAGCATCTGATCTCTTGTTCAGCTTCGGTTGGTGGCAGATGGGGCATTCGCGGATTTCAATAACGTGCTCTACACCCTTGTCATCCGCCAAGTCGTCTACGTTGATGTTGTCGCCTTCTTCTCCTTCCACACCCAATGTGTCCGTCTCCAATACGGGTATCGAGGTGGTCGAGCTATCCTTGTTGATAGGCGTAAGTTGGCCAGATGCGAGAGACGGTGTTTCGGTACCTGGCGTGAAGAAGCCACTGGCACCAAACTTTCCACTTCCTACGCGCTTGGCCTGCTGGTCTTCGGTTGCTTGCAGTTGATCCTCCAAACAGATGACGGCTTCGTCAAAGGTCAGCAGCTCATCGCCGTTATGCTGGGCCGTGAATCTGGTGAAGAAGCTGTCAATCGTCGTCTCGTGCAAAGTGGACCCAAGAGTGTCCAGCATCGTAGTGAGCTCCACTTTGTCGAGCAGGCCACTGTCATCTGCGTCATACTGCTTAAGCATAGCCCTCCAGAATTGTTGACGCAGAGCCTTGTAGGGTAGGTACTTGGCTCGAATGTACAGGGTTGGATTGTGTTTGGCTTCCCACCGTTCTTTATTCTTCATCTCCAGGGGCAGGGTGTACATTTTCAAGTCTTCGTCATCTACAGCTGAAGGGTTAATGTTGGCAGTCCCACCTACAGTCAAGTTGCCCGAAGAGTCGGCCGCGTGAGCCTGTGGGGTACTCGTAGGCCCTTGCGGTAGAGCACTGTTCGAGTCTTTAACGGACAGAGAACCCGTGGATGATTCTTTCTTAAGAGATGGTCGGCTGAGACGGGACAGACTGTTGGTAGATGACGAACGAGAGATGGGTATACGAAAGCGCGACCGCCGTGCTGCCTTCTCCCCGTCTGATTGAGCCCCTGGTGAATCCGACGGTTCTGGGAGCTTATACAGACCCGTCTCCGGGTCGGCTTGTGGGGCCACGGAAAGTGCCTTGTCAAGTGGGAAGTTGACCGTGCCCACATAGTCGTTGCCCGAGAATTTGTCCTTGTCCACGACTGTGAAGCTGACAGAGTAATTGACTTCATGTCTGAGGACTTGAAAGACGAGTTTCTCGTCGTATACAGGGTTCAGGTCGTGGCGCACCGTTTTTGTGCGGTACGTCTTCTTTCCAAGCGAGGTGACGACAAAAGGGTCCATATCAAATGAGGTCCGCGTGACTGCGAGGAGGATCAGCACATGTTACCATGTAGAGGATTGTGGATAAATCACCATTGTGCTCAGGTGGTAGGTCTGTGATTCTCTGGATCTCCAAAAAGAGCACACCTGCCACATCGCCGTTGCTCGAGTATTCGTAGCCGCTCCTCTGTTTGGCCTTGCGCCTAAGCTTGGCCAGCCTGAGTCTCCTCCGCCGTTTTTCCCTCTTCTCGGCCTTCTTCGATTCGTCGCCTCCAACGTCGTCTGAACTGTCGTCATCGTCGTCGTTGTCGGTAGCATTGCTGTCGCCACGAAGCAGGAGCTCCTCGTCTTCCTCGTCTGGGCTCGGTGTCTGGCCTGCAATGGCGAGGAACTTGGAGAGAATCTGGTCGGGGGTCGCAGCGAGGTTCGTAGGGTCAACAAGCGAGAATTGGATCTGGATCTCGCCCGAGACCACAGACTTCTTCTTGCCCGTCCGCTTTGAGCGGAGAGGAAACCACTGTGGCTCCTGCTGTACCTGGCCGTTTAAGAATTGGTCCTCGAGTATGACGTCAAACTGGCCCATGTAGTCCTTTCCGAAGCGGTCCTTGTCCCAGCAGTAGACCTCGAGCAGGAGACTCTGTTCGTCGATGATGGGCAGTTCGAGGATGGTGTTCCATTCGGGGTTGAGCGTCTTGTTGATAGTAGGGGTTGTTTCCGTAGCGTCGCCGAGGGTGACTACAAGATACTGTGCAAAAAGGACATCAAATCAGCTTCCGCTGCAGCAATCAACGACTCGTCAATGACAGGGTGGGGTCTCGTGTCGTGTCGGTTCGTGCATTCCAACCAACAAGCACAGGCGCAAACAAGCGTGGCTCCGTCGTCCCGAGTAGGGACGGTGTACTGGTGCGCGTACTCACCGGGTCGGAGAAACCACTCCGGTCCTTTGCAGCGAGATTCCTGCCCTGTACAGGCAATTAGTCGGTGGGCTTGACTATCAATGCGTGGGGCACTGGCAGGCGCACCTTGATGACATTGGCCCTCAACACCAGCGCGGGCGGGCGACCCTGCTCGGCCATTGTGCGCTTGGGGCTGCCGTTGCGATTCGCCGATAGGCTAGAGGGCGAGGTAGACGTAGTTGAGGCGCTTGTTGTTGTTGCTGATGTTGATGTTGATGTTGTTGTTGTTGTTGTTGAAGTCGTGCCCTTGAGGCGGTGGGGGAGCGACAGTCTGCTACTGAAGTTGGGACGCGCCATGGTGTGGCTACGTACATGCGTCGACTACCTACTGTGACAGTACTAGCTGCGCCCTCACGCTTCGATCGGCTCGTTCGTCTGGGTCCGCGGCGGTAGCCAAGATTCCCACAGGAGCTTGTCTGCGCGTGCCAAACCCGTGGCAGAGCAGCACGGTCAATACATGCAGAGGGAGAGGTAGGAGGGGTCGGGTTCTCTTGAGAGAGGGAAAGGGCCTAAAAGAATGAAGATGGAGTGCAAGAGAGGGTGTGCTATGGAGTAGGTAGGTAGGTATTGCTCCGGATGGACATGGGGTAGTCAACCATTCGCTCGAGCTAAGAATGGCGGGCAAGACTGTGAATACATAGACGGTCCAGGGGGGGTTACCGCCGCCCAGGCAGACGAGCTGAGAAGCGGCTACACTCTTAGGCTTGAGCCAGGTCCGCAAATTCGTCTTTGCGGCGCAGAGAGGGCAAGGCGCCTGGTGCCGGGACTGACGGCTGGCCCTGGTGGATGCTTTTGTGTGTGGTGATGCACGTCCAATGCCTCCTGTGCGAAAGCAGCCACCACTCGAGTGTCGGAGCGTGGCCGAGGTGCGATTCAGGCCCTCCTACGTTATGCACATGTGCTACGTATGAGTATAGTAATTGCCATCATGGTGTCTACTACCTATACATACTATAGTCCCGTGTTGAGTAAGGCTTTCCTGCTGCCGTTGCATTGCCCAACATTCATCATAAGCACAGTGGCTTGCACCGAACATGGGACCCCTACTCTGCTGTGTACGTGACAACTGTGTATTAAGGTACAGTACTCTCAGTACTCTACGCAATCTACGGTACCGTACATGCATCCTCCCTCACTTAGGCTCGCCTGCAACCTGTTCCAGACTCCAAAGTCGTCGCAGCTGTCTCCGCCACAAGCCACCAGGGCAGGCGAAGCAGCATGACTGGCGGCTTGCACTACCCGTGTACCACACCAGTACTACCCAACGTCACTACTCACATAAGCAGGCCTCAGACCTCGCCTATCCTCAGGGCCGGTGTAAGTATGTACAGAGAGGGTACATAGAGTAGTATACACAACGATGTCCTCGAGCGTCATCAAAAATCCCGCACTATCCACCCATCCCTCACCCGCTCTGGATGCACCAATACAACAGGGCATTGCAGCTGCCGGCCTCATATCTGCATTGGGACGGAGCCGCTGTCTCTCGGTGGCAATCCAGAAGGCTTCCCGCGAGCTGTTTGCCAGGCCTTCTTAGCCGCATCTACCGTTGTAATCTCTCTCGTACCCTACCGTCCCTCTGTACTCTGCTCAACCGTCACCTTCTACATGCAGTCGAATCACTGTTGGTGGAGGAGAGCTCGCCCTGCAATGTACCGCTACCGCCACCGCAACTTGCACAGCCCGCTTGCATTTCTTCCACAACTGACATCGCCATGCTTGGGTCTTGGAGCGTGCGCCGAGTTCCACACTGTTGGGCCAAGTGCTTGTGCATTTGCTGATCGCCTCGCTTTGGTTCGTCTTGTTCCTGCTGCGTTAAACTGTCTGCGTCCTTTGATGCTGCATGCAGACCTTGCGACTGTACCGTATAACCGGTGGCGAACAGGTGGGCTAAAGAGGCTAGGCCGATTACGCCTGGATTGGAGCCAATCATAGGTTCAGGCTTGTTTATATTACCGTAATTTTAGTACCAGGCTTACAAACACCTAAAGTTAGTTTAGTGCCAGCTGTGTGTGCAGAAGGACCCATGGGAAACAGTACCTAGTGACCTTACGGCGACACTACATGGACTACGTTGCTTCTCTGTTGTATGCACATAGGTACGACAGGACTGTAGAAGAACTTGGTACCAGAATCTGGTGAGGACAATGTTGAGGGCTGGAGCGGAGAGGTATTGATGGAGAACACAAAGCGTCTACTTAATAGACCCTCAGCCGGACGTAAGAAATGAAGCTGAGGCCTGTTATCAAGAAGAAAGAACTGAAGGTCCGCCGCACATTTTACTTAGTGACATTAAGCCTCGCAGGTGTATCAAGTAGATTCTAAGCATGGCCATCGGCCACACATGAGAAGTCTCGTTTCTACTATGCAGTAGCGTCATCCTAAAGTGTTTGCCATCAATTTTCCTACTACGTCTAGTGCAGGATATCAACGTATAATGTATTGCCCTCTCGTTAGTTATTAACACAAGCACCGATCTTACGACTGCCTTTTCTCTCTGCTAATCAGTGGTGATCTCCCATGCGTGTAGGCAGGAAGGCACGGTATTGTAAATTCACTAAAATCAGCGGCATAAGCGCTATATAGGCCAAACAAGCACACATCCAGTCCGCAGTGAGATTCATATAGAGCAAAAGTAAAATTGCCGAACAGTGTAAGTATGACAGTATCGATATACTGTTCATATTGAATTCGCGCAGAGACCAAGATTCTTACCGTATAAAGTAGCGTACAACATTAGTGCAAGCAAGCAAATACATAAACAAGCTGTACCTAGTTGGTAGAAAGGATAAAAAATCTATATTCCCTTCACCTGAATAAGTAAGGCAGCCAGCTAAGCCTCTTGCCTGCACGTCTGTTCTACGCCAGTTTATACGTGATCAAGCGAAATGTAACACACTGCTGCAAGGTCTTAGCTTAAACGATGTATGCACGGTCTAATTCCCCTTTGTAGGTTTCGAGCGTACGATTTTAGTGAAAACATATACTAGCTAGGTTCGAAACTATACTATGTCTGCCTGAACTGGTGGTGTAAGCCATTAAAGTAATAAACATCAATGTATTTTGTATATACTATAGTCCTTACCAGTGACACCATGGAACAGGGACTATCAGCAAGAATGTACACTGACAGGCCTACAGTACTCTTTATATCACCCAAGACGTTGTTTGCTTACCCCGTCATACACGTATTGAAGATTGTAGTCTATAGAATATCTCGTCAACGGTGAACCAGTCACTTAGCTGTGAGGGAGACAGCAATTTCACGCGAGGCACATGGGCAGTGAATGGTTCTGCAAGAAAGTAAAATTCAACTCGAGGTAAATCTCGAGCACATACTCAGCTGCAGCAAAAACGTATTTAGCATCCATCCAGCTAGGTCGCGATAGAGCGATCAATTGAACTTCCTAGCTTTGAAGCCCAGAATCTCCGCCTCTTAAAAGAAAATACCACAATTCTAAACCTAGCAATCATCCTTGACTATTGTAGCGATGACTGATACTATATACAAACTGAACGCGTACCAAGCACCAAGCAGGTCGCAACTACTGATTAGAATTGCGTTCTATTTCTGCTTATCCTGATCTAAATAAGCGTGAGACGAGGTTACTTGCGCAACTTCTGCGTGACTAGAGGTCTATAAAATACAGCCAAACGTCAAATGAGTGCCCCTTGGCTACTTGTCCAAAACTCACTGTAATCCAGCGACACTGCTAGCGGAGCTTCTGTTTTATAGGGTGATGGCTGGCTACGGTTGAGTGGACGACTCTGCTATTGTCCTTGGAGAGATCTCGTCATCAACGCCAGTTTCTCGCCAGGAACGCATAGCTTATAGTTTTGAGCTCCACACATCCTACACTGTTGATCCAAGCTGCACTTCAGCCATCCATCGACCTTCCAAACTCAAAAACGATGTGCTATAAATATCCAGTTTCAAATCTCTAGAATTGTAGAATACTAACGCATTGAATTCATATACTACGCCTCTCAATAACACCAAAGGGGCTCAGTCTACATCGCTCTTCCACACATATATTCTTCATCGCCCTTGTATATACATGTCTTCGGCTTCTCAGCAACAGTGCAAGGTTCCTCATCTAATGTGTATCTAGAGCGCAAGATGCCCAGACCAAAGCACAACTCCTTCTCATCCGCCAATGCACAAACCACCTGAATGTGTTTGTAATCTCCCGTCTTTCTCTGGGTTCGAGGAACGCTACGCCACGGAAATCTCCGTCACTGTGTTTATAAGGCGTGTTTGCAGCAAAAGAGCGACGATCGTTTGGAATGCCACTGACCGCCTTGCTCTAGATTGTAACTCTAGTGCTTCCTTGTCCTTATGAACACATCGTATTCTTCGGCTTATCGCCATGAGAGTTTTTAAAACATCTCCACATAGCTGTCCATTTCCAAAGCTTGTTATAAAGCACAAGGTTACACTATTGCCCTACTAGGCCTGCATATCGCGTCTGATGCAATTTCCCTGACAGACATTCCCGACACCAAAGCGAGGGTCCAGTTTGACCTACATAATTCGTTATGTAAACTCCCGCAGATTATAAGCTGTGAAATTTCCATACAAGAAATCCCCATATTATTTCATCATGGTGAGATGATCAGGACACCATTACGTACGGCGAAGCGGCGATGAAATGGTGTTTTGTCTTTGACTGGGAGTTTCTATGGGGTTTAATTTTGGGTTATCTATTGTAACTGCATTAGTACATCTCCTAGTAAAGGCTATGCTTATTGAACGTTAGGAGGCGGATGCTTCAGGGGCATAAGGAAGAAGGCCAATGTACGTGTATTGCTGATGACTGTGAATATCTCAGTAGCAATAGTACACTAAGTGGAGAAATTCTACCATCAGTGTAGACATTGCACTCAAACAAATCTGTCAGCGTGTACTCCCAGAATACATCAATAAAAACCTGTCCGCCATCGCCTCACATCCACGGTACAATCAAACACTTCAGCGACATTCGCATACGTCTCACGCTCCACACCTGATGCCATTAATCTCAACGATACCGTTGGGAACTGCAACCCAGCATCCCCAATCCGCGCCAACCCATCATTCTCAATACCTACAGAGCGTCTCCCATTCTACCGCCCCGTCACCGAAGCAGCCAGCTCCTCCAGCGCCCCAGCACGCCAAGTCATGTCTAGTCACTCGCGCTCCACTATTAGAAAATTCTCCCAGTATCACATGCACTCTCCTCTACTTTCCTACTCACTACGACACCATCTTCCACCTCTGGACTTTCACATCCGCGCGACCGTCATTCCCGATACCGCATTGTTTTTCTTTTCGCAGCTTACAGGAAAGCGCGAATGGAAAGATTTGGTCGTTAGTAGGGTGGTTCGCAATGATAGAGCTGGGACGGAGAAGCTGGTGGGTTGGACTGGGTGTTGGAAGGTTTATTCGGGCGGTTGGGCGATGGAGAATGGCATGAGGGTGCATGGGAGATTGTTGAAGGGAATTGATACAGTGGGAATAGTTGTGGCGGCAGGGAACGTTTTGGACAAGTTTGAGGGCGTGGATTGGGAAGATGATCCGGGAGAGCAGAGTGGGAGACTCGACCAAGTCCTGGATTTGGGTGATGATGGTTTCGACGAGGTGCTGCGTCTGTATCTCAACAAACAACAAACTCAGCATGGTAAATCTTAATTAAACTCATCAAAGGCGTACTCATCTGCCTCGGTCTTTACTGCGCAACGGGCCTTGGCTCCCGGAGCATACAGTACAGCGTAATGGCATCCGCATCCTCATCTCCATCCCTACACTCCATCTCCCTCACCAGCCTAAACCCAAACTTCTCATAAATCGCAACATTCGGCTCCCTCCTACTACTCTCCAAATAGCAGGACACGCCCTCCCGATCCGCCACGCGCAAAACCTCCTCCATCAGCGCCCTACCCACGCCTTTCCCCTGCGCCTCCGGCAACACGGTAACGATATTACAGAAATAGTAACCTTTGGGATCAGTCCAAATCTCCCTTTGCGCCTCCGCCTGTCTCGCCTTCCAAATCCAATATCGTTGCACTGACAAGCCGCCACGTCCATACCATAGATTCATGCGGATCTGGTTGGCCCATAGCCACCAGTATGAGAGGTACAGCGACCAGCTGTCTGGTTGGGAGGGCGCGCGCGGTGGCATCCACATTGCGCAACCGAGGATCTTGTGGGGTTCTGCGGTGTCGCGGGCAACGTGGAAGAGGCCATGTTGGATGCCCCAGCGACAACGGAGGGTGAGGGAGACTCGATTACGCGTCAAAGACAGCTTGGAGCGGTCGGGATAGACCCATAGGTTGTAAGGGTCGTTGGCGAAGGCTTGTTGTATGGTGTCAATCGCGCCGTCTATATCGGCTTCTGTCATCCGCCACACTGTGATGGGCATGGTGGGGACGGGAGGGGAGAAGGAATGGGGTTGAATTGCGTTCAACAAAGTCTCTGTTCAACGAGGGAGCAACTGTGAGCGCGCAGGGCCACTGCTGGTCTATGTTGGGTTACATGGTCCTGATGTAGGTTTGACATCAAGAGAAGGCGCGAAAAATGGCTATACGGTTATGAGACTGTATGTGACAAGTACATGCAAAGGTCACGTGCTTGCGGGGTTGTCTCTATCAACTTGACAGTACCTCTTACAGCTATAGTACATTTATTGCAACACAGTATCCCGCAAACAGTGATTTTTAAGGGCTTTTGTGCTGATCAGACAGGAGACTATAGAGATACCAGTCCCACTCGCCGTTTGCTAAGGTACTGATTTTGGTTTTTGGCTTATTTGCGAGTCACAGGTCTCCGTAACCTGTAACCGTAACCCGTTTTCTGTATGGGGGTGTTACGATTACTGGCAAAGGATTGGAGGAAGGCGGGGCAACGCCGGACCAACCGTGTAACGTGTCCAGGATCACGTGACATACCATGCAGCTAAGACATACCAGCCATGGACAGTACATCAGTATATAGGAACCACGAGATACCGTTACAGTAGATCGTGTGCAAATTATGTAAACGAGCAAGCAATAGTTACATTTAGTTCAACTCGATTACCTCTTGATACTCCTTTTAGAAGCACACTCTTACTGTCGTAGTATTAAAAACCCTCTGTATCTGTTAGGACACGGTGTCTATTCCCACTGCGCCAAACAACCAAAAAGGTGCGTATAATCCATGAGTGGATTATTCACGAATAGAATAGTATATATGGGCGCAGGGCACGCCATACCCCATAGTCCTACCATGCGCGCGCACGCTGCCATGGCCTGACAATTATCCTAATCTACTGCCAAACCTCTATCCCACACCGTGACGTCTTACACTCCTAACCTTGATCCAATAAGCCAACCAACTCTAAGAATTAAACAGCATCCACCACCCATCACCCCAAAAACCTAACCTGCCCACCATACATAGCCGCGCAATCCCCAACATCCAATGTGAACGTACATGCACCAGCAACGTTCATACATAACACATACCGGTAACATGACATAACATAACACATCAGTATCACTACACTCTACATCTTATACATAGCAAGAAACACAACCGTAACTCTACCTAGTCTAATTCAAATAGTACTATCCTGGTACAACAACATGTGTATGCGTGCGAAAATCCTCCACGCACACGAGTCTCAAACTCAACGTACAGTAGGGGCGCAGCAAACCATATCCGTGTAAATAAGCATGTGTTGTATTGTACTGTATTGTATCGTATCGTACCTAATTCTTCTCCCTCCCCACTCCAACCCTCCCGCGCACACACAGTGTACAATAGTCCCACCGTACTCCCAAGCCAGCCCATCCGCACCATAGACATAGGACAGGGCAGCCGAGATGTCAAACAAACACCATCGTACAAGTACACTACAACACCGCAAAGACACCGACGGGGAAGCCGCGTTCCTCGCCGATCCTCTGCCATCACTGTACTGCGAAGTACGCCAAACGTTTCGCGGCAAGGCGGCTATTCTTCGGGCCATGTGGAGAGATGACCGTAGAGTAAGTAAGATGGGCTAGGGCAATTGCCCGTACGGTACATACCATAGTACGATAAAGACGGCATGAGCGCCGTGCGCAGCGAACCCTTCAAAAAATCGTCGAGGGATTTTTTGGATTTTGTTTTTCTTGCGCGTAAGCGGCGACTTGAATGTCTCCCTGGTGGGTGGGGTTACTTGTACATACTTTACATGCCGCGTACTTGTGAAAGTTTGGCCGCACGAGGATCGCTTCTCGCTAAGGAAATGGTCGGTCCCTCTCTCTGGTGCCTAGATGCGGTAATCGCGGGAGAGAAAGATGGGGCCAAGTGAATTTGAAACGCTCCTTGACGGTTTGACAACATGCTGGTAGTGCTGCATGTATTTTTTTTTGGCGGACTGTCTGTAGTATTCGAGGGTTGGTCATGCATTCTCCAAGTGCGGATGGAGGGGTGGCATTGCGGGCGCTGACCAAGTGCCCAGCCGCAGCTTCGTGAAGGGTCGGTGTGTTAGAAACCAAGCAAGCAAGCCGGGCTGCCGTGGTCATCAGACAAGATGAGGGAAAAGGTGTAATTGTGGTGGGCCGGGCAATAAGCGTGGTCGTGCATTGGAGTCCACTACTGTATGCATAGCGATCAGATCTTTTGTCTCAGCCCATAAATAGGCGGCTAGTATGATACCGAGGGCTGAGCTGTCGCAGTTCAGGACTATGCAGGTGCGACTGTTTCTGCGCGTCTCCACACGCAAATGGAGCAGGTCTGTACAAGTAGTTCGGGCTGCCGCTCCATGGAGCACGAGGGGCGTCGGCAAGCGCTCCATCGATTTTAGCCTAGACGACGTGGTGCAGAAGCAAAATGAGACAACAGGCGATTTGACAATCTGTAAGCACAGAATGAGTGGTTGTTGCATGCATGGCGCTTCTCCCGGATGGATTCCGCCGTTATACATTTGACGAGAAGCTTCCTGCACATGGATGTAGGCGGTCATAAGCGCCTCATCAACTGCTGGGCCACGCTGAGGTGCGGGACACAGAGGAGTCGCCCTGGTCAGCCGCTACATGGTGCGCTGAGGAGCATCGGCGCGTTGCTTTTGGGCATGCTAACCAGATTAGTGTCGAGAGATGCGCTGCGGGCATGCATCAAAGTGTATCTCTTACAAGCAAACTTTGAGCATGGTTAACTCCGACTAGGGGGAACGTGGTGCAGGTGGGCACACCATGATACCTTGAAGATGGCTAAGGCGGAGTAAGATTTCCGGATCGAGGTGTGGTCGCACAAGCTTCGTAGCGGTGTTGTAACCGTTCTCGGTAAGGCCCAGGGTAAGCCCAAGCTGATCCGGTCCCGGATACTCAAGACGTGTGCTGGGTGAGAAACTTGCTCTATATTAGTTGCGATGCCGACTCAAGTTTGCAGCAGCAAGCGCCGCAATCTTATCCTGGGCTGTGATGACCTGGCCTGAGAGAATCCGCTGCCTATCCCAGTATATTCGGTGTCGCATCGATCACGGCGTGACGGTGTGAGCAAGCACACATTCACCCTGGAAAGGGGTGCGACAAGCCGCCCCGGATTGCGGTGTAGCGGCAAGACGGAAAACACACAACGACTTTTGTGGTTGAAACCCAAAGACTAGCCGACACTGGTCGAGCAAGACCACCGGGTGCAGCGCGCAGTAGCAGGTTTGAGCTGCTGCATTGCATGGCCGCCTCTGCCTGGGAGCTACGAGATGGGTGGGTTTTTGTCAGCCCAGGCTCCAGAGTAGGAGCAGCAATAGCTTTCACGAGTAATGAACTGTCACAAGCCAGACAGATCGCACATGGAGGAGCGATGCCCATGGAAATTGTAGGTTGGTGGCCTTGCGTTTTGCAATGCGTACATGGTGAAGGTCTGGCGTGTACATACCACGAACGGGCACAGTTTCACTGGGCAACAAGCAATGTCCCTAGAGACACAGTTCTTGCTCGTGTGGATTCCGACCTGCACCTTTTCTGGAGAGAAATGCAACAATTTTGGCCCCAAAACTCCTTGGTGCCAGCACATACCAAATCGAGAGGTCCAGGCAGTCGGGAGCTCTCGCGGTTACCTACCTTGGCTGTACCGCAGTGCTGACGCCAACCTCGAGGGCTGGCTGCATGGACCGTTGGCACAAGGCCACAGTACTGGCAATACATCGCACATACATGGTAATTAGTATACACATGGAAAGGAGGCTCACTACTACCTCTACGCGGCCGTCGATCATGGCGTGCAAAGCGAGACCAACAATGCTCAGCAATTGGCTAGTCCGACCCTGCTGTCGCGCGCTCGGGCTATAAAAGGCTAATGTTTGCGTCAAGGATATTACCGTAACAGTATGCGTGCCCATGGATGGCCGAAAAGCATTTCGGTTGTTTGACATCACTCTAGTGGAGAGTCTAGAACCTGCGGTTTATGAGTAGCCACGGCTTCTTGCTAAGGATCGTCCTCGCCCATAAAATAATGCAGCTAGTCCAGTGAAATCTGTTGTTGATGCAACTCCTTCATTATCGGTCGCTGCGTGCAGGTCATGATTGTGCGAGCGGTAGTGCGACGGAGGTAGGCGTCGGGTGTCATGGCAATGCTACTGGTCGCGCCCATCTTGGTCTTCGCACTTGGGCATGCCTGAGGAACACCAAGCACTTGCTAGACAATCGTGAGATCGAGAGAGACCAAGGCGAGTACAAGTACAATAGCTAGTGCTGTGGAGACGTGGAGACGGGGGAAGAAATTCTGTACCGCAAGGGATAGCGACCTGTGACTCTGCATGTGTCTGCGGTTGCTGGCTAGAGTCTGCCGTCCATACCGCCTCTTTGAATTGGCAGACAGCTTTTTCCGTAATGCAACGCCACGTTAACTCCAGACCCACCCGTCTCGTGGGCCGGCAAGCCGTACGTCATTCACGGTAAGGTTCCCGTGTCGCAGATGTCAGCAAAAGGGTCGTGTTCGGCCTTGAAGGGCCCTGTCCTCGTCAACGCAGCAGGCCTGACGGATGACACCGTCAGTGCTGGGACAGATCTTCAAGGCCAACCCGAAAGCAACCATAAAACACCGATAGCCTCTAACAAGGGGTGCCAACCGACGTTGCAAAGGTTCTGTAACTGTGTTGTGCTCAATGGTGTGGCTGTCCGACCTTTCAGCTGACACTGTGACCAAGGCATGATGCAGGTCGGCATTAAACACCTCGATCGGATGCCGTTCGCAGGACACGATGCAGCAAGTCGATATGTCGCAAGACACTACCAACCCATCCCGGTGTCAGTTCGGCGCTTGCCGCTTGCTTGTGCGCCCGAGTCTCGTGATGCAGGAAGGTGGTACAGTATTGTACGCTTGTGCCGCAAAATTTTCGTCAAATATGTAAACCGAGGCCGCCCTGCTGGGAGACTGAAGTCATGCCAGTTCATGTGCAATGAGTGGGATGTGCTCACTGCTCACTGCTCACTGCTGAAATGCAGATTCTGGCGCAGTTGATTCGCTCCATGCGATGAGTGCGCTAATCGCAATTTACTATTGACAACCCCGACGTCTGAGAAAGCGGGTGTGAGCACTGCTGGGCGGGGGGCTACTCTAGCATGATAAGATCTCAGCCCATGGTATGATCTGGATGATTTGCTGGTCAGGCAGGGAAGACGGTATCGGCTGCTGTGTGTAGTAGGTAGAGGATTGCAGTTTCATAGTGGCACATGTTACCATAGTAATTAGATGGCGATGTGGAAGTTACAACCGAAATGAGGAAGCGTCCTCCTCTGCGGCCAAGTCTATCTGGGAACTGCGCTTCGTGAAGCAGACCCATGCAAGGCCCAAGATGGGTCTTTTCCATGTACACACACGACGGTAGGGTAGAGGGGTAGGCTGAATTTGGCGACAAGACGCAGGCCCCCCCTGACATGGCCCAGTTTTGTTTGAACCAGCCAAAGCATCCTTGCGCCCGCGTTGGACCGCTGTCGATCATTCAGGCGGGACGAAACCAGGATTCCCCCTCGGCGCTTCGGCTGCATCTCATCAGCCACGCCCCGGGGATTTCTCGTCATCGAACGGTATTGCCATTTCCGGTCTGGTAAACGTGGGGTCGCAGGGCAGAGGCTGCAACTGTGCCTCATGCCGTCGGCATCTCTCCGTGTCATGATCGTGGTGAGGAGGACGTGTGGTGCAGTACATGTGTACCTATCCCTACCTTCGGTATATATTGTACCACCTAGAGTAAGGTAGGAGGTGGTGACCTTTGTCGATGACGATCTCTCACTTGTGCATACAAGCTATCCAGCCACGGATTCAAAATCCGACCTTGGTACAGATGGTCGTTTGATTTTGCATTGCATTCAGCAGCACTTACCGACGGGTGGGTCCAAAGGCCAATAACGGTGAATAGTGTACCGATAGTTTTGACGGATCGTGCTATAACAGGCCTTTACCTAGTCTATAACTTGGACTATTTGTAGAAGTGTGTGTCTGCGACTGCGTAGCGGGAAAATGGGGAGACGGTCTTGTTGTAAAGAGAATACGCCGCAACAGAACGCGCGTATCGCTGTGGCTGCCACATGCAACTGGGTCAGTGGCCAATCGTGTTGGCACTGATTCAGGGTCCTGTGAATGCTGACCTGGCGGTCCCCTGTGCCCGTGTTCTAGAGTACTGTGCCCAGCCATACTGGCCAGGCACTGTGTACCAGTACACAAACTTTCTGATCGACGACACAAGGGCTCGGAAATCTGCTAACGAGGAAAGGGAAGAGCAGGCTGGTGGGTTGGACGTTGGCAGCGCGAACATGGCTTCCCGTTCCCAGGTGTGCTCGGTGGACGACGATGAGTATGTCAAGGGTAATGTGGTTTTTGCTTAGTGCTGCCTAGCATACGACAGGGTCATGGACGCGATACGGACGCGAGGGGGGACGCCATTGTGACGGGACAGAGACTTGCACGCCGAGCTGATGGCAGAAAAAGGGCTGGCTGTTCGCGTCCGGTGTGTTCAGACAGTGGTCAGGCACAGGCGCAGGCGTATGGTAGGCATGTACTCCACCATGTCCAACACGGTCATAGGGTACTATGTAGGTCCGTAGGTGGTAGGTAGTACGGTGCTATGTCCGTGGTCAGTTGGCCAGCTGGCCAGTGGAGGGGCGAGGCTGATGCGATGCTATGCTTTGTCGATGGTACAGTGCCTACATCCCATAGCTGCCCTACCTACTACGCCTACCTGGCAGCTGGCATGTGCAGATTTGCTTCAGGTAGGTGGTAATCTCCGTGGCTGTCCCGCCGTTGGGTGTGTGACCTCTCTGACAGCAGTGCCAACGTTGGACGTCCAGAAGGAGCAGCAGCAGCAGCAGCAGCAGCATCACCATGATCATGATCATCCATGATCCGTCACCCCCTCCCCCCATGCCTCGAAAAGTTTTAAGGCCCATGTCGTCGACTTCGCTGTCCCTGGGGAGCAGGCAGCCATTGTGGCAGGGGCTGGCCGCATGGCGATTTCTGGAAAACGCTCGGCTAGAGAGCAGGCGAATGAAAGCAGAGAGACAGCGCCCGCCCCAGATCGCGCTTGGACACCCATGGGCCAGCTGCATGGTTTGCCGGCTGCACGCGCATCCCAGCGAGGAGTGCTGGGTTGCGGGCCATGGGTGGGGGGGAGGGGGGAGATGATGGAGATGACAAGGGAGGGAGGGAGCATGGATGGATCATGGATGAATCATGGATGATGGATGGATGAAGGGAAGGGATAGATGGAGGGATGGAGGGATGGAGGGATGGTGGTCAAACTTTGGTTGGTGCAGTAGTTTCGGAATGAGTGGAAGGCACGAAAAGCCCATGTTGATGCTTCGGCGCTACGACTCGCTTGTCCACCGGCCCTTCACCGCCCAATCAAGTCACAGCACCGGCGTCGGAGAGTGTGAAGGTGAATGGCCCCAAACTTCTTCCTCTCTTCCCCCCTCCCCTTGGATGGCTGATCTGGCGATGATGGATAATGGATGATGCTTTCATTTGTATCCACCCCTCCATCCTCTATAGGGACTGTAAGTATACTACACAGGTACGATGTGTGCAACATGGTAGGTGCTGGGTATTATGCACCACCTCACCCACCAGCCGCACCTCACCCCCCCCCCCCCCCCATTTTTTATTTTTTTTTTTTGTGTTGTTTTTTTTTTGGTACCCGGCCCAGACAGACAGCCACTCCCCTTTTTTTTTTCCCCCCCCCCCCCCCCCCCCCCCCTGTGGCCACTGCGCTCAGATGAGTCGTAACCTGCGAAGCTGTCCCGGAACGCCTAACCCAAGTCTCGCACACTACCACCGTATTCTGTCATCGTCGTATCCTCCTCGTGTGTAGCGGCTGCTTTCTGCCCTCGCTCTCGCCCTTGCCCTTGCCTGCACCCTTTGTTTCTTCCATGGCGGTCCGCCGTCGGCCGACGTCTTGGTCTGCCTGCACGGATGCTTTCGTGCATTGCCCGATGATACAATCGGTACGCCTCCCTCGTCTGCTCTTCCCTGTCCTGTGATTTGGTCAAGTCATTCCTGGCCTGCTTGTTCACCCATTCTGCACACACCCACCCCTCCCCCACCCATGGTCCCAGCCGTGCCACTCGCCCCAAGTCGTCACAGCGCTCCCTCACCGAGCCATCCCTTGGTGGCCCCGTACAGTCTATAGTGCCAACCACCGTCCCTTCCTTGTCCTGCCTCTTTCTTCCGCCATTACCACTTTTCGACTCTCGCTAGGCCGGCCCTGGCATTCCTTGTACCATGACTCCTGCCGTGAGCTTGCTCTTGCTCAATTTCCCCATGATCCCTTCCCGATCCGTCTATATCTCTTGGCACCCTATCCGCCTATCCAGATATCCTACCATGCCTCCCACTCTTCGACCAGAAAGAGACGGTACCTGACTGAATCACCTGCTCGCCCATACCACCGACCTACAAAGCGTTTGAGCACACCCATACACCTACTCACCCTCACCCTCACCCTTCACCTGCACACACGCCCATGGCCTTGCCCTTCTCTCCCAACACCGTCGACATGTCAGGCCAGATGATCCACTCTCCACTACCACCTCGTACCTCTCGCGGTTCTGGCACCCCATCCGTTCACCGCTCTTCACGCGTTGAGAAACCAAAGAGTCACCACAACAGCCCGCGATCCATGGAGAGGAGAAAGACGACTACAGAGACCAAGCTCTATGCCACCCTGGATGATCATTTCAAGATGATGTTTGGCGTATCCCCAGAGGAAGTCGAGGAGGAGCGACCACAACCCAGCAGGCCTGTGAGCTGGCATCCTTGTTCAAGCCAATTCCAAGCATCTCGACCGACGACGTACTTTGATCACACCCCCCAACAGCCTTGCTCACAACAATACTCGCCGTCTTCCCGCAATTCCCACCACGGCTCCGACTTTTACTCTCTCTCCACCCATGATTCCATGTACGAACCAAGGCCCAATGCTGGCATGCAGTCGGCCGTCTATGGCAGGCACCAAGGCTCCGACGACTCGGAAGTCAACTGGCAAGCCTCTCAACAGCAAAACTCTGGATACGCACACTCGACCGTCAACACACCCATGGCCGAGCCCCTTCCTTGGTACCTCCAGCAATGGGCCCAGCAGAACCAAGCACAAGCCATGATGGACCCTTATACACGCTCGACAGACTTCTTGCCAATCCAACATCCCGCCGGGCAAGACGAAGACATGGAAGAAGAGGAGGAGGAGGAGGAGGAGGAAGAAGAAGAGGGCGAGAAGCTCGTGGCGCTGGGTCTTTACGATGCCCCTGAGCCTTCGTTGACATGGGGCGCAGCTACCGAAGCAACTGGCAAAGGACTCAAGCTAGAGGAAACATGGCAGCCACCAAACGACGACGAGGACGAGGAGGAAGAGGAAGACGGTGACGATGCCAGCTCAGAGGCCAGTGTCGAGGAACCATCACCACCCTTTCCCCTGGCCAACCCTTGCACCCAGCACATTCCAGTGCACGTCAAGTCGCAGACTCCAGGCAGCATGGAGGGCCAGAGCTTCTTCTTCGACGAGGACGAAACAGTCTCCAAGGAATGGTGGTACCAACAGCTCAAACAGCCGACGATGCCAGTGCGGGACACTGGGCTCGGCTACGGCTGGCTGTAGATTTTGGACGGTATTATTTTCGGGCACGTGATTGGCATTTTTTCTTCTAGTAGATGTTTGTGTATACATGGCCAGGCGTTTTTTTTGGGCATTTTGCATTTTCATCTCAAGATTTCCTGAAATGGGAATTCTTGAGATTTCACTCGAGCTCTAGCTTTACAGATACCCCTCCAGCCTTCAGTGGCTATAAAAGACGAGCACGATTGCTCATGTCGTGTTGAACATGGTTTGACATGTTTGTCAGGCCTTGAGTATATAGATGAATATAAATATAAATAGTTGAATAGTTGGATAGTTGAGAATTAAGAATTGAGAATTCCGAGTTCAGAATGATGGAATTGTGTGATTGGGTTTTTTGAGAGTACTCAGTGTTGATTCGGTGTTGGGATTTCAAGATTGTCCTTGTTTTTTTCGCGCTAGGTGTACTTAGTATGGTGGGGGGAAGTGATGGGTAGGGGAGATGGGGATGGGAGAGGAGAGGGAATTGCGTGTGCTGTACATTTCACATGTCTATATATTCAGGCGTCATACTTCTACCTTGATATGTATGATTGTTGTCTTGTTTTTCTTTTTGTCTTGTCTTGTTTCCTATCTTGTTCGACCAGTACAATTGGGTAGGGCGTATTGTATTGTATGTATTATACATGACCCATTTACCACCACCACCCCTAACGCCACCAACCGAAAAATAGAAACATAGATACTATAACATTTCCAGCCGTAACTGATACCGTGTACTCTGTACCATATCTATCTACAACTGTAGGCTTAGCAGACAGCCATACGCTACATGTACTCATTTTTCTTGTTTTGCTCTGGCTGGCTGGCTGGCTGGCTAAATAGCTACCTATGGTTTGTGGGAGCATTGAATCTTTGGGTATGACTTCGGGACATGACCTAACCTGACAGCATCAGCATCAGCCAGCCAGCCAGCACCAGCCGGCACCAGCCTCCCCTCCAACCGACTCGTCTCTGCTTGGACACGCTATATACGATACAAATCGGTACGCTACATGTCATGTACATAGCATAACAGTATATACAACACCCACGCTACTTGCGTATCACGAATACAACCCCACACCCCAAACCACGCAGCGCTCGCACAAACTCAGCAAATACGCTAGCTAACATACCAGCGCTAGGATGGGGAAAAGGCTGGCTTGCTCGTGCTCGTGCTTTGGCGTGGACTGAGGCGTGGACTAGAGCCTGTCGCTCTGTCATTTGTGTGTGTGCATTGTTTAGTGATCACACAGTACCTACAGACCGCACATTCCCACACTGTCGGTATCACCGGACGCTAGGCACAACACGCAGATTAAGTTTAAGATTTCCAGAGCAAAAGGTTCCAGACGATGGGGTGATTTTCAAACTTTTTTTTTTTTGCTTTTCTTTCGGCTGCTAGGGCTGACTGCTCTTTGCTTGGCGGGGTGAGGGGTGAGGGGCGGTGAGCAGCTTACGTCATACTGTGATTTGTGAAAGCGTGGTGGTTGGGTTATTTTCTCTTGCTCGACTCGTATCGATAAGCCGACGCGACTCGATGAAAAATTACGCCGCACGCGCGCGTGTTCACGTGAACCGCTCTACACCTACAGATCCACCACATACATACATACATACATACATACATACATACATACATACAACCCACACACACGCAAAGTACCCAATCGCCACAGCCACCTCCAGTCATTCCCACACTCCAGCAATCCAGCAATCCAGGATACCCGCAACCACACCTTCCCGACTCACCACCCACACCCTCTGCCTTGCCAAACTGCAAACACTAGGACCATGGAGGCGCAGACCCGCTTCGTTGTTACCGCCTGGCGCGATCCCCAGGACTTGCTGCAGCTGCGACAGGACTTGTATAGTTCTGAGATGGGGAGGCGGGGGCGCGGTGTTGGTAAGGTGGGTTTTTTTCTGCGTTTGTGTTATTTCACTGTCTCCTTGTTTCCGAAAATCTTCATAATGATATTGATGATTACGTTGTTGTTCCGGGAAATCAAGGCTGCGAAGTAGTTCTCTGCTCATGTGCTGATGCTGATGCTGATGTTGATGCTGATACAAGACAGGTCTGTGCCTGGCGAGTACGCAAGCCAGAGGGATTGCCGTTGCTGCTGGAGGCGACGGCGGATCTGGTGGATGTTGGGGTGCAAGAGGAGGGGAAGGGGTTGGGGCGGAATGCGGTGCGGTTGTTGTATGCGAGTGCGGTTGCGAGGTAGGTTTTTATTCCTTTTCTTAATTTTCTGGGAGGAGGTTGGACGAGGGGGGGAGTGTTTGGTGTTGATATTTGATATGTTTTTTGGGGATTTTCTTTGGTGTTGGTACTTGAGTTTTTTTCCTTTGGTGCTGTCGCTTTGTCTTTTGATTTGGCTATTCTTTACTGTTATTTGAGCTCTTTATTCTCCTATTCCCTTAGTTCGGAACCTCTCTCCACGTCAGTTCTTCTCTTCTCTCTGGTCTAGACTGCATCCCCCGACTATCACTCCGCCACATCAGCCAAACGTCACCTATCAAGGTCCATCAGGCAGGTACTAATCCGCCCAGATTCGTCACGGGCCTAGCAGACACCCAGATTGACCTGATACGCGATCGCCCGTCATGGTTCCCACCCGGCAAATCACTCCAGCTTCCCCTTGCTCTACTCGAAGTCCGCCACCGCATCGTCCATCGCCATCTCCCCTCCCTGGCTGAACTCAAGCGTGCTGCAAAGAAAAGCCTCGAGTGGCTATGGGCATGGTACTGGAGCCAACTCGACCACGCCTTTTCTCTTTCTCCCCCTCTCGTCGACGACGGCGAAATCGAGAGCCTGGAGTCGGTCAAGCAGCGCTTACAAAGCCTCCTAAAGACGTACGTCAAGGAAAGAAAAACCGCAATCAAGACGAGGAAAACAGGCCTCAACGCCGCAGAAAACGCCCTCTCCATATACACCCTTCGCTTCAGCGGCCCTCACAACGCCGCACCACCCCCACGCATCCGAGACATTCTCCTCGACCTCCTCGTCAATAACAAAATGATGCTTCCCACCGATAAGAAACTCGGAACCACCATGTCCGGCGCCTTCCTCATCTGGACCCCCTTCCTCCTCCGTTTCTGCTCCCCTCCTGACCCGCCCTCTCCCACAACACCAATCATCCCCCTCCCAACCCTCCTCACCCACCTCCTCCACACCATGAACACCCCCTCCCCTACTCCACCACACACCCCCACCCCACCAGACCTCGACCCCGTCCGCGAGGCCCTACACGACTGGATCCTGCACCTCCTCAGCGCCCCCGAATGCGCGCCCCTGCGTGCACCCTCCAGCGAGAAAAAACTCCTCGAACACATCCTGGTCGAGTGTTTCTCCGCCCCGAGTTTCTGGAACCTCAGACTGGCGCGGAGTATACTGCGGCATGCAGACTGGCGGGGCAAGGGCATCTGGAGCGAGCTTTTAGATGCTGCAGAGGCGGATGCGAGTGTTGGGGGTAACGTCGACGCCGCTGTTGAAATGGATATCGAGGCTGCTGAGGAGACTGGACGGCTTCAAGACGCCGGGTATAATGTCGCCGGTTCTGATCAGAGCGAAACACAAAGCGAAAGGATGTCTGGTCCGACTAAGGTTCTTGGTCTTTGGAATCCTACGCCTATTGGTTGGATGCCTGTGGGCTTGGAGCCTGATGAGTAGGTGGGCAATGGGAATGGAGAGGATAGCCAGGGTTGAGTTTGGTTACGCTTGTGTGTATACATGTAGCTGTAGGTGTACATTCACATTGTCCAGAATCACTCGTCAACTCCCCTGCAATACAAACTTCATACCACCATACTTGCACGACCAGCCATCGAGCTCTTCTGGGGTGATTGTGTGTGATACAGTATCTTCCCACACCCTCTTATTCGTACAACTACGTTGCAATACACAGCACACGATGAATAAGGCTATACGTGTCGGGCCGAGAAACTATGGGAGATGAGAGGTCGTGTTCTGGGTATACTGGTTGTATGTGTCGTAGGGGTATAGAGTTACTTAGTTGTCGGGTACCTAGATCTATTCATCCATCAACCCATCCATCAACACTACAACGCTACAACATCCTATCCCACCCCCCCTTGTTCGCATAACCCGTACCGCACAATACCAGCACATTATACATGGCAGGACTCCCACAAGTTTCATAACCTAGTTAGAGGGAGATGTAGCATTACATGTGTCTTTTAATAGTTTGACGTTGCAGATGATAGAAGCGAGGTCAGCACGGATAGATTAGACTGTGTGAAAGATGGCGATTTTACGTGATTCCGACCTGGATTCACGAGGGAGGGGTATTTGTATATCGTTCGCGTTTAAAATCGTGTTTTGCAAACGTCATGGCATTCAACCTTCTTTTCAAACGTCATGGGCATCTTTCTCTTCGACTTTGTCCTCGGCTTTCATCTCGACTTCCATCTACTCATGTTTCCTTGCTGGTCATATCTTTTCCTTGAGCTCAGGTGAAAGTATTTTATCCTCCACCTTGCGCATAATCTTAATCGTCTGCTCCGCTAGCGTAAGCGTGAGAATCTGGTTTCCCGTTAGTAACTTTTTAATTGCCATGTGAATCTGCGATTCCAACGTACCGTATGTGGCAGGATTCTGGCTAGATGTGCAAAGTATCCCTTGTAGAGCGCTAGGACACCTTCTGATTTGACCGTCTTCGACAGGCAGTCAAAGGCCGAGGTGTAGAGATTGCCGGTTTGGTTGTACATGCGGCTCATGATCGTGTCTGGAGGGTGCATGACGCAACACACGACGAAGCCGCTCGCTGTGCTACTCGCCACGTGTAATGGCATCCCTTCCTGCATGCCCAAGTGTTTTACGAGCCGCCTCTTTGCGAAGAAGTATGTTGGTAGTTGTACAGAGCTGCCAAACCCCGTCCGCACCATGGCAGGCCCGACACCTCTGTACAGCCCTTTTACGCCCTCGGATGTGTATATTTGCCGCAGGCCATCGAGTGCGCCTTTGTACATGTGCTGTGTGCCGACGGGCAGGAAGGGGGAGTAGGATTGCAGGCGGGTTTTTACGAGGAAGAAGGGCGAGCCTGCGACTGCGCCGAGGATACCGGAGGCAGCGCCCGAGAAGATGTTGATACCGAATGACTGGAAGGCTGGGTCGTGGTAGATTAGGCTGGTTACGGATTTGCGGAGCGGTTCGTAGAAGCCGAGACGGCAGCCATTGAGCGTCATTTGGTAGACATACTGTTTGCGCATCGTTAGCCAGGTCCTCTGTATCTGCCACCTCGGGCTAGCAATTGGCCTGGAAAGAACACTGGCAAGACATACAGCACAGCCCAAACCGCGCAACAAGCCCCGTGGTCCTTCATTTTTGAGGATAACGCTGACGCCGTGGAAGACGCCTTTGTATAACCGCGGCGCCTCGTTTTTTGACCGGAGCTCTCCTTGTAATTGTAGTCTGTAGGAGAGAGAAAAGTCAATGAGCGGGCTTGGGCGTGCTGGAGAGCTTTGCGCACCGGATCTTGACTGTTTCGAAGCCGTGGGTTACTGTGACGGCACCGCAGGCTGCTATACCGCCGGCGATGAAGGAGCTGGTGATGATTAGTATTTGATTTTGTCGCCGCTTGAGCAGAGAGTGCCAGAGTGGTGCCTACCCAAGGGTTGTGGACATGTTGGCTTTTTATATGCGACAAAAATTGAGCGGCGCGAGCTGACGGAAATTCCGGGGAAGGCGCGGGTTGAGTGGTACCGGTAGGTACTTTGATGGGCAAGGGTACGGTACCGGTAATGGGGGTTATAACAACGAAACTCTAGTCTATGTAGAAGGAAAAAAGAGGGCCAGAGAGAAGAAGAATGGCGGCACACAAGAGAGGGTGAAAGGGGGAATTGAGGATTAGCTGAGGCTGCCAGTCGGGTGTGTCATCCAACAGCGGCCTTTGTGATGATGAGGACTGACTCTGAATCATCTTTTGGGCGAGTGTACGGTCCAGTCCCGAGGTCGGCGCCGGGACACACAATTCATGCCAAGCCCAGGGTTCAAGCTAATCCGCCGCCTTTCTTCGCCTGCCTTTCTCGCCCATCCATCCTGTCGGCTTTCTTGGGGGTAACATTTCGCGTGAGGGACGCGTCGACCTCTTCCCGTCGACTCTGACTCGTTCGCGGATTCTTCTGATTTTCTTCTGGTTCCGTGGTGGTTCAATTGTTCGATTGTCCGACTCGTCAAGGAATCAAGTGGACAATGCAGTCGGCCACTATATCACTCTAAGACGTCCAGACGTTCCACGCTTCTGCCATGGCGACTGGCTCAGCGACCCCCGGCGCACCTCCGCCGCCTGCAGGCCCGCCGACACAGAAGGTGAGCGACGTCATCACGAGTTTCCGGCCGTCAAGAGTACGATATACCACACCTCCCTAGACGCTCAAAATACACACACACACACACACACACACACACACTAACGACCTTCTACTCAGCGCTTCAAGCCAGGCAGCCAAAGCACATCAGTCACCTCACTCGACTTCGACGACACGGGCGAACTGGCCATTGTAGCCCGCGACGACGACACGCTCCAGATCTACAACTGCAAAGAAGGCAAGCACGCCAAAGAGCTCAAGAGCCAGAAATATGGCGTCCACCTTGCCCGCTTCTCCCACCATGCCCAGAGCATCATCTACGCGAGCACAAAAGTCGACGACACCATTCGCTTCCTCTCCACCCACGACAACAGCTACATCCGCTACTTCAAGGGCCACACCGACACCGTGACATCGATTGCCCTCTGCCCCTCGAGCGACACCTTCCTCAGCTGCTCCAAGGACAACACTGTCCGGCTCTGGAACCTCTCGTCCCCCAACTATGTCGGCCTGCTGAATCTGCACACCCCCTACCTTGCCGCCTACGACCCCTCGGCAACAGTCATGGCCATTGCCTCGCCACAAACTCAATCCGTCCTCCTCTACGACATTCGAAACTACGACAAACCCCCTTTCGCCACCTTTGACCTCCTCGAACTCGAACAGCGCTTCGTCGGCAGCCAACGCGGCGAATGGACCAAGCTGGAATTCAGCAACGACGGCAAACATCTCGTCATTGCCACAAACGGCGCCGGCCACTTCGTCCTCGACGCCTTCTCGGGCGAGATTGCCCATTTTTGCTACCGCAAGGCTGGATCCTCGGGGCGCTTTGCGCCAGGGTCATCGCACTCGAATCACGCCTCTACCTCCAATGGCAGCACGCCCGCCAATGGCCAAGGCGACGTCTGCCTCACCCCGGATGGCCAGTACCTGATGGGTGGCTGTGGCGAAGACGGCCTATTAATCTGGGACATTTCAAAACCGCCGACGAGCAACCACATCAACGAGCCGATGGAGAAGTTGCCAGGACAGGGCAAGGCAGCGATTGTGGGCTATAATCCTCGCACCAATTTGGTGGCGACTGCGGATCGGGATCTGTTGCTTTGGCAGCCGGATCCGGATTTGATGATGTAGGTTGTGTCTGTAGCGTGGGGAGGGAAGAGTGTTGCAATCGAAGAGTGTTTTTTTAGATGGTGGATAGGGCAAGAGAAGGGTAGTGAAGAGGAGAGGAATATCTTTGAGATAAATCTAGGCGTCTGAGCCAGGCTTTTCCTCCTTTCACAATTCTACTGGTTGTTTATAGTACGAAAGAGGTGAGGTGCTATGGTTTTTTGAGCAACCAAGTTTGACTAAATGTATGGCATATGGGGGAATTTGCAAAGGGGGGATTGATGTATTGTATTGTTTTGTCAGTTCCTATCCTATCTCACTACCTCTAATCCACCATGTTATATCAAAACACATCATACCCTACCATTTCACTTTCCTTGCCCACATCCCCCCCTCCCCCACGAAAACACACCCCCTTGCCACCACAGCACCACCCAGCCATCCACGCGAAGTGGGGATGTCGGGGTAGGTAATGTGGAGGTTGGGAGATGGGTGGGTCGCTGTATGCTTGTTTAGGAGTTATATGGTGTATGGTAGTAGTAGATGGAGAAGTAGGTTTCTCTCTCTCTCTCTCTGAGAGATGTGATTGGGAGGGCCTTTTTGGGTGGCGTAGTCTGCAACATGGTGGGATGGGGGTTGCTATGGGGGGTTGATAGTTTAGTGTGTGGGCATTTTCTTTTTCGCTTGCTTGCTTGTATTTCTTTTTTTCATTTGTGGCGGGTTGGAATTTTGTTACGTGAGCGGGTGGGTGTGGCGGGAGAGCTGAGTAGTCTGCTCTTACAGAGAAAGTGGACGTGATGTTCAGGGTGCAGAAATGCGGTGCACATGCTTTCCGTGAAGCAGTGAATGTTCGGTAGACAAGGCCGTCTTGACCCGTGCTAATTAAAAGATGGAGGGTGCGAGCCAGTGAGATGGAGATGCGTGGTGTTGGGCAACAAGTGCGGAGTGCAGTGGTGTTATGCGGTGCAAGGTGGAGTGCATACCTGTGCGTTCAAGCAACTGGCCAATCACATTCTGCGTAATCGAAAAGGTGTGTGACTTTGGGGAATCCTTGAGCGGGGGAGGGATTTGAAAAGAAGCGTAGCCTGGTTGGCGAGAAGAGACTCAAGAGAGCAGATATGAACTCGTACCTGGAGATTATGGAGGCTATGCATTGCAGCCCAGCACTATGCAGGGATTTTCAAGTTTGACCGTTCGAAATAGCCCTCAGGCTCGCAGGCTGGCGTCGTATACATGCACATGGGAGATCATGGTGCGGACAAACCCGCACTCACGCTACAAGATGAGGAGAGCGAGGGACCTGAGGGACAAGACAGCTTGTCCAGACTGTTGGCCTCGTATGTGGTGCTCGTGGTGCTGGAGGCGATCTGATGCTCGACATGCAGCATGTAGCCAGGATTACCGGATCGTCAGACGGAACCCTCAAGGATATCGAGGATCAAAAATGGGCCTGATTCCTTGCTCGATTGGCGTTGTTTGCCACCGGGCAGAGGATTTCGGCGGGAGGGTTTGCACTTGTGATTCGAGAAGGGTGGCTGATCGTTCTTCTCGTGTTGTGCTGTAGCAAGGGTCGAGTAGCATAGGATAGAGGGGGTTGAGTCTGAGTTTGAGTGAGGGATTACCAAGGTCAAGTCGGACTTGATGCATGCTCCATGCCACCTTGGAACTGCTCCAGTGTCCCCCGCGACGAATCCTCCGCCAAGCAAGACGCGGCAACGCTCCCCTGACAGTCTTTTAAGCCTCCTTTCGAAACCTTCCAAGGCCACAACGGCATCTGGCCGCGCGGACGACTGCGTTCGAGGCCGTTGTGTGGCCCAGTTGCCCTCGCCGAATGGGGGCTCCTGTTCATGCGCCCTCCTCCGTCACAAACAGCTGTGCCTCTTTCCAAACGCCTGCAGCCTCACACACAAGCTACCTGCTACTAGGTAGTCGACGGACAAGTTACTGCTTACAGGCGCAGCGTCGGTCTTGCTCCAGACGTCAGTGGCTTGCGTGTTTTTTTCGTCGTGGCACGTTGTCCACTCGGATTGGACATCAGTGATGAGGGCATGGTTAGCGCAGACATAGGGCATAGGGCAGCTCGCGGCTGATGGGCACATAGTCACCTGTTTCTTCTTGTCCCTCTTGTACAACCTCAGTCTTAGTCTGGCGGGGGGGGGGGGGGGGCGCTGGAGCTTCCTTGCATCCCCCGCAGTTTCCATGCTGTCGGTGTCCCCCAAACGCTCTCTCGCAATGCTGTAGAGTACCGTACAGTCACATTAGCGAAATTACCTTGAACCCCTCCTTCACAACACCCTACTGTTCTGTGTTGGCTAGCGAATCCATATGACTTTTCAGGTCTGACAGCTTACTTGCCCTGTTACCTCGTTTCCCTCAACTCCTCCCCTCCCCCCTTCTTGCTCAGGGGACTCTGACGACATCCTTCCCCCCCGGCTTCGCAATTCTTCTCGGACGACAAATCATTTCCATTACACGCGCAGTGCGATGCCCGAGTTTGGCTGCTGTGTCATTTGGGGTCTCGTGACAGTCTGAAGTTCCAGACGTGAAATACTTGCCCTATACCTACCCCAGCTAGAATCGCTCCCTCTCTTAGCACACAGCACCCCAGCGACTCCACTACTACTCCACCACTCAACCACGATCGATTGTCGCCGCGACCTGGCCGCAGTAACTCCTTTAACTCTCCGCTTGATACAAACCCCTCCGCCTCCATCACTTGCTGTCGTACACTGCCAATCAGTGCCGGAAATAACACCTTTTGTGCGAGTATGCTGCATCGTGCGCTCCCCACTATTTCTCGAAGTCGGCACTTGCCACTAGGTAACGGTGGATAATGCAAGCGACGCAGGACCACGCAACGACAACGACTGGGCCAAACCTGGCTCCTCTGTTCATTCCAGGAGTCACCCGGGGCTCTTTGCCTGTTGGCTTGCTTCCTCCTCTCGACATGCCTCTTACCTTCCTGCCCCAGCCGTCTCCATCTCGAGCGGGAAAGCGCAGTCGTGCAGCCGCTGATATTGACGGCGAGCACTCTTGTTTGCAGAAGAAGAAACGCCGGCTCAGATTGCTCCTCATCACTTCACGACTGTCGCCACAGTTTTCTCACCCCGCCACCAACATCGTCGATCGGGGTAGCTCCAAGATCGCCGTATGGGCCAAGCAGAAAGCGCTTGGCAGGAACCTGCTGCGCAAAGCGGCAATCTTGAATCGAATACGGCGTCAAACCATCGCAAGTAGTCGAGGAAGAGGCAGTCGGGACAGCCGATCGCCAGTGCAGCAAGAGAAGGAACGAGAGCAATTGCAACTGGCCAAGCTGGAATTCGACCATGGCGCCATCGACACCTATACACGCCCCGTACACTCGACAACACATTCTGTCCCGCCTACTGCAGCTGTCAGGACAGGCAAGCACTTTATCGTTTCTGCCTCTCCATCGTCCTCGCCCAGTCCCTCGCCCACTTCCTCCTCACCACCCCTGAAAGCAAAACCAGAGAAGAGCACATCAACGCCAACCTACCGCTCTCCAAATGCAGCCTACGCCTTCTCTCCGCAGCGAGCACAAGCCTCGTGCCGAGACCACTCCCCCCTTCCTCCGTCACCACTTGGACTCTCAAACTACGACGCTTTCGATCGGGAGGGAGGTCCAAATCGATACAATCGCTTCGACGATGACGACGACGAACTGCAATTCCTGATCCCCTACAACGATGACGATGGAGACGACGACGACGTACCCTTCTCCCCCTCTGCAGCAACATCAACATCCATTACAATGGCGGCAAAAAGCACTGACCAAGCCATACCAAGCCCCCTCCTACCCCTATCCCCCAACCTCAAGCCCCTCGATCCCAACGACTCCGTCTTCGGAGCGTACGACCGTGTCGACGACAGCGTGGATGAGACGTGGCCGACGATAATATCTCCTCCACAAGTCCAACCTCTTCCCGCCCTGTCACCCGGCTCTACATCACCCAATTTCCCGTCTGTACTCGCGCCAGCACAAACGGGCGCGTCATGGACAAGGAGCACGGATTCTTTTGCCGTGTCACCGAACCTTGGCCCGAGGACAGTGAAGCCTCCTTTTCCATCTACCTCTACGTTGACTACGAAATCGCCATTTACGACGCCAAGCCCAAGTTTGAGCTCGAACCTCCTCGTAACTATTCCAACTTCACAATCTCCCAACTTCACATCGACGACTACATTAGCATCAACATCGACATCAACATTGACATCAAGACCAACTCCCCTACTCCCTCGAACATGCCCATGCCCACCCCAAAATACAAGCTCCATGCGCAGCGGCATCGGCATTGCGTCTCCGCTCAGTCATCCCGCCAACGCCGTGGTCTGGGATGCACAATCGCAGTCTGGTCGTGAGGGTGGGCGGCGGGGATGAGGGGTTATTTTGTTGTTTTGTCTTTGTTATTGTTGTTGTTATTGTTGTTGTCGTGATTCTTCACTGGGGTGTCTGTATGTCCTGCAATACATGGTGAAGAGCAAAGTGTTTCTCCCTTTGAGCAGGAAGGGGGCGGAGGGAGGGAGGTTAATCTTGTAGAAATCTTTAGTTTATGAAGTTGAGAAATTTTTTTTATTGTTTTGGGATACTTTGGCTTTGGGGTGTGGGTGTGGGTGGAGTGAGGTCGACTGAGATGAAGACGAGGCTGGCGTTGAGCTTGGGCAGGTGATGTGTAGATCAAATCAAGTGAAATTGGTAGGCGGGTGAGTGAGTAGGAGAGGGGTGTATATTCTTCTGGGGGGGCGGGGGGCGTTGGATGTTGTGTATAGTGTTTTTCGTTGGTGGGGGGGTTGAGAGGGGTGATGGATTTGGGGTTCTTTGTAGTTTATTTCTTGATGTGTGGACTTTATCTTTTTTGTTATTCTTCTTATCTCTTGTTATTCCTCTCATCTCTTGTTATTCTTCTCATCTCTTGTTATTCTTCTCATCTCTTGTTATTCTTCTTATTTCTTGTTATTCCTCTCATCTCTTGTTATTCTTCTTATCTCTTGTTATTCTTCTCATCTCTTGTTATTCTTCTCATCTCTTGTTATTCTTCTCATTTCTTGTTATTCCTCTTATCTCTTGTTATTCCTCTCATCTCTTGTTATTCTTCTCATCTCTTGTTATTCTTCTTATCTCTTGTTATTCTTCTCATTTCTTGTTATTCCTCTTATCTCTTGTTATTCTTCTCATCTCTTGTTATTCTTCTTATCTCTTGTTATTCTTCTTATCTCTTGTTATTCTTCTCATTTCTAATGTTATTCCTCTCATCTCTTGTTATTCTTCTCATCTCTTGTTATTCTTCTCATCTCTTGTTATTCCTCTCATCTCTTGTTATTCTTCTCATCTCTTGTTATTCTTCTCATCTCTTGTTATTCTTCTCATTTCTTGTTATTCCTCTCATCTCTTGTTATTCTTCTCATCTCTTGTTATTCTTCTCATCTCTTGTTATTCTTCTCATCTCTTGTTATTCTTCTCATTTCTTGTTATTCCTCTCATCTCTTGTTATTCTTCTTATCTCTTGTTATTCTTCTCATCTCTTGTTATTCTTCTTATCTCTTGTTATTCTTCTCATCTCTTGTTATTCTTCTCATTTCTTGTTATTCCTCTTATCTCTTGTTATTCCTCTCATCTCTTATTATTCTTCTCATCTCTTGTTATTCTTCTTATCTCTTGTTATTCTTCTTATTTCTTGTTATTCCTCTCATCTCTTGTTATTCTTCTTATCTCTTGTTATTCTTCTCATCTCTTGTTATTCTTCTCATCTCTTGTTATTCTTCTCATTTCTTGTTATTCCTCTCATCTCTTGTTATTCTTCTCATCTCTTGTTATTCTTCTCATCTCTTGTTATTCTTTTTCTTCTCATCTCTTCGCATCTCCAACTTGCATCCCCTTGTCTCCCCATCCTCCCCTTTCACCCACTCCCATTCACCCTCCCCCATCCCTGCAATCCTCCAAACCCTCACACCCCATCCCCAGCCTGCAATTTCCCCGCCCGATCGACGGCAATATCGCACATTGCAGCAATAGCCTCGCGGCGCTCTAGGTGGATATCTCCGCGGGCGATGCGGGCGCGCATGTCGTCGAGGATTTCAGAGCGTGGGCGGGCGTTGACGAAGACGCTGGGAGGGGGGGGGGGAAGGGGGTTAGTTGGGTTGGGTGTTGGGATAAGGCCAATTGGACCAAAAGCGGGGACGGCGCGGCCGCCAGAGGAGCATGTGGCTTGCCCGATGTCGAGGATTTCAATCGGGTTCCAGATGATGTGGCCGTAAGCGGACTGGGCGGCCGCGGCAGAGAAGATGCCGAGGAGGCCGACGACAGTGAAGATGCACGGAATGACACTGGCTTGGACGTTTTGTGNGGAAGAAGAAGTGCATTTCTATTTGAAATATGCAGGAAACGGGTCAAGTTATCATTCTACACATTTCTTTGGACGTTGAAAGCATTTTACAGTGCAACACATCGTGCAGCGGGTTTGTTTAATAGCTTTCCACCGTTGAGTTTTTTCTGTGCGTGCAGTACCCAGGGAATCGACAGCATATGGTTGAGGGCTGGGGGTGGGTGGGCATTGTGGGTTGAAACGAGTTTTTTTTTTGGGGATAGGGTTGGAGTGTGTAGAGTTTTGTAGGATCAGGTTTGAAGGGTCCAAAGGTGGAAGCGGAGTAGGTAGGTAGGTAGGTGTTGTATCTGGTTGCAGCTGGGGGCCATCTTGTAGTGTTTAGGGGGATGCAGGGTGGTGGGAGGTGGAGACTAGGAGACTAGTGACAAGTGTAGATTCGGCCGCTGCCGTCCGTAAGCGAACGGAGGCAGGTCCTGGGTAGAGAGGGGAAGAGGGTTTAGGTTGAGATGAGCGCAAGCCTAAAAGGGAATGTAGGCGTGTGGGCTTGGGATGGATGCTGCAAGGGCCGGGAGAAAGAGTCGATGGGTGGGTTATCGATAGAGAGAGAGAGAGAGAGAGAGAGAGGGTGGGGCATACTCTTACCAGACTACTCCAACCACGGCGATCCGTCTGGTACTATGGTTGTGGGTGTAGTGTTCAGCGCTCGATGGTGTGTACATACAGTCGTAAAAAAGATACCCTCTACACTGGTAACCTAGGTGGTCTGATCAAGGTTGAAGGTGTATAGAATGCCAGTCTGGGAGGCCAAGGAGAGTCCCTAGTTGCAACTACCCGGTAGCTTACCGAGTTATTGGAGTATTTGTCTACTGCCTTTCTCGCTTCCCGTCCCCTACCCAAACAGTCATGCGTCATGAATGGTCCTGAAATCCCATTCGCTCTCCCTTGGGATAAAAAGCCGTCATGGTGCCCGGGTTGAGACGGCAAGCGCTTCAGCAATCACGAGATGAACTGGGTGCAGAGAGAAGGGTGAGCTTCGCCGCCCAAGACGGGACGATGGGAATCGACGATGAAAGTAGACAGGACAGGACAGGACAGGACAGGACAGGACAGGACAGGACAGGACAGGACAGATACCAAGCACACCACTACTGGTCGTCTCCTCTACAACTAGAGTAGTCAGGGACGGGCGAGGGGCCATTTCGTCAGATGGCTCGGCCTGGTTGGAATGAATGGATGGATGGGTTCGGGAGCGGCACGCTAGGCCTTGCCGTAGCTTGAGGTTGGAAAGAGCTCCCTGGAGTTTCTTGGACCCCTCTCCTCTTCTCTTGTCCAACATGAAACACACCACCACCACCACCACCACCATTATCATACCTACTCTCTCCCAGTCCTACCACCACCACTGTATTTACATGTAGCCGGCAAAGGAATGCCCGGGGGCGCATACATGTACATACACACTACTGCCATGTACCGTAGATAGGTTACCAAGGCCTACACCCCAACGGCCTGCTAAACGTTACCGTATCCCTGACCCCCAGCTGGCTCCAGCATCGCCCCCTGCGCCCGCCCTGCACCTCCCGCCTGCGCGACCATCGTGACGCCGCCAGCCGCCCACAACTCAACTCTTTTTCTTTTTTCTTTTCCGCTCCCCAAGGCACGGCTCCCCAGCAGTTGATTAGCATTTCGTCGCCCCTGGGGCCCTGGAATTGCTGCCTTGCGCCGCCAGCAAGACCATGTCGCTCAACGGCCTCGACAGTGTCGCCGTCACACAGGCGTACCAGAGCGCCCTCGCCGAGGCTGGGGGATGGTACGGCGCGCCCATTGAAGCCAGTCTTCTCCGCATGTTCGGGCCACCCTGCTAACGTTTTGGCGCGTCCAACACAGGTTCCTGCTGCGATATACGTCCAGGGATGCCGTAGAGGTGCTGACCCGGGGAACGGGCGGTGCTGGAGAGGCACGCGTTGCTGTCACACAGTATCAAGAAAAGTCACCGCTCTATGGCCTGTTGCTATACCGCCGTCGCAAGGTCTTGGTCAAGTACGTGCCCGACGAGACTTCACGCCTGCTACAGGGTATGTATGCCCAACTTTTGTCTCTCTCTCCTCTTTGGCTCCCTTTACCCTCCACCCTTCTCCACTTGCTGACATCTGTGCCTTGATAGCGCGCGTCGCCGTCCACTTTCTCGCCATCACCGACCGCTTCGCGCCGCACGACATTGTCCTCACCATCACGTCCCCAGAGGAGCTTAGCGACGCCGCCCTTGCCGCTGCGTGCACCCTGCACACCGCTGCCCCCTCGAGCTCCTCCTCGAGCGGATCCTCACGCCATCAGAAGCTCAGCTGGATACAAGAAGCGGCAGAGGAGGGACACAACAACACCACCAACGAGGACGGTACCAGCCCACTGCGGCCTACGACTGCAAAATCGGCCATACCCACCATCCTCGAGCCTCGGTCGAGCAATGAAGACGACTCGCTGCGGAATGGCTCCTTGACTTCGCAGACAGAGACGGTTCCGCTGATGCTCGAGGAGAAGAGCAGTCAAGCCAAGCCAGAAGTGCGACCCGCATCCATAGCATTGCCGGAAAAGTCGCACGTCTCGACGCAGGTGCGGTCTGAGTGTCCCATGACACCGCCAGAGAAGGACCTTGCCGACCTACAAGCAACCCTCGAGAGCTACGATCAGCTGTTTGAAGGTGGGCCCGAGCCTCGTCTCTCCTCTCAGACGACACGTCCCACCTACAACGAGCTCTACGAACACTACTACGCCCAGTACACCAAGCCCAAGGTCAAGCTGGGACCACGGCCGCGCCCTTCGACTGACGGAAGGAGACCGTCCACCTCGGGAAGCGGCTCACAAGACGCTGCAAGGCCAGTTTCATCCTTGCCCCCTGGCCTTCGCTCTGCCACTCGAAAGGCCGCGGAGAAGAAAGAGTCCAAGACCAGAAATTCTAGCACCGTTCCCGCCATCGCCATCCCGCCTCCACCACCGATTCCCAAAACGCCCGACATGCCACATTCTCCCGTCTCGCCCGCATACTCGAGCAGGACACCTGCCAGTGTAAAGTCGATGCCCGCCGTGTCTGTGTACTCTAGCCAGCATAGATCCACGGGTATGACGCAGGAAAAGACCAGGCTGATGAAGGCACTGGAAATGCGGAAAAAGCAACAAAAGGCACAAGAGGAGAAGAAAGCGAAGCTGTCTGCAGATGCCGCCGCTGCGTCGGAATCGCAGGCAGACACCCCTGCTCCTGAGGATAAAACTGATGCATCGCTAAAGAATCCAGACCTAGAGACAAGGACCACATCAGACACAGGAGATGAACGAGCCATTGCACAGGAGGAAGAGGGCATCTCCAATTCTAATGCCATCCCCTCGCCTGTAGAGGACCACTTGTCGCCGTCGGGCTTGGACAATTCTGGTCTGGCCTTTACCGGAAGCCAAATGGAAATGGATGACCTCAACTCTGCTGCTTCAGTATCGTCCCCAACGTCCGCACAGACACAGGGATCATCAGCTCCACCTTCGACCAGACCGTCATCCCTCTCAGACGACGACGACGAACATGCAAGCTTGAAGACGTCGAATGATCAGCAAGAGGCCTCTGGCGTTCGCAGCCCAGATTCCCTTGAGGAGGGCCAATCAGTCGATAGCACACCCACTGTCGTCCCCGAGAGTCAGACACCAGCCGCTTCAGTAGCGTTGCAAAGCACGATTCCACAGACTACCGTCACAGATTCATCAGCATTCGACAACCATGCCAGTGGGCTTACCATGCCAGCTGAGCAAGGAGACGATGGGCGTGCACGACGATCAAAGCGAGAGTCCAGAATCTACATGCCATCAGGCCAAGGCTTTGGGTATGAAGAGGCTTTCAAGAGGAAGAACAGAGAGTCAATGCTCATGCCAACTCCCAAGAGTCACAGCTGGTTCGAGACCAAGGAGGCGCATCAAACTCTGGTTGATCCTGTCGAATTCAATGCGGAACAGTCAGAGACCGAGTACTTGTCCGATGATTCCTTCATGGAAGAGCTGCAGAGCGCCACAGTACACCAAGCGAAGCCCATGTCTGTGTCCAAGTCCCCCATCACGCCCTTCTTTTCACGCAAGTCATCTGCTTCCAATATGACACCCCCTGGGACAGCATCGACACACCGAAGCATCGGAGGCGGCTCACCTGAGCTCTCAGTACGCAAGGCATCGGGTGGCTGGCCGCCTCGTCCAAAGACATCAGACACCGTAGTGGCGGCCAAGAAGATTACCGTCTCGTCTGGCATCTCCCAAAGGATCAAGGCACTTGCAGAAAAGTCTAGTCGCGAACTTAAACAGACGCCAGGCAATGCTAGTAGCAACTCGCTCGAGCCAGGTTCGACACTGGCGCAACGCAAATCCTCCTTCTTTGCAGCTACGCCTACGGAGACATCGCCCAATGGACGGTCATCCTCACGGCTGGGAGGCCCGGCCTTTTTGACTTCCTCTGCATCTTCAACACCTGACAAAAAGAAGAAGCAGCAGTCTGATCCCGTCAAGTCGACTGCTTACAATGTCCGTGGAGCCGAAAAGCCCGAATCCGTGCAGGTTACGGCTCGTATCATTCGCGATGAGCGCACTGCGAAGCCGACGCTGGCAATGCCTACCGAAAACACACCTCTGGAACTACACCAAAGTCCCCTCATCATCGACCACCAAAAACCCACCTGGACGCCCAAGAGCCCGACTCGTGGCAGGCCCGAGACAGCCTCCCCAAGAGCACCACCTTCGTCTTCACACTCACGCGAGCAAAGCATCGCACCATCACGAACATCCTCGGAAAGTACATGGAGAGCTTTCGGTCGTAGAATGAGCGAAACGAGGTCCATCCACAGCCACGATGGCGGCGATGAACGTGGCGAAGACAAGAAGGAGAAGAAGGAAAGGAAGGACTCGAGGACGAGCAAGATGTTCAAGCGCATGTCTTCGTCCATGCCTTGGAAGAGCTCGAGCAACAATCTCGGACTTCCTGAGCAGGGCCTCGGATCATCTTCTTTGTTTTCTCTCAGAGAGCCACCGTCTCCGGTGCATGTTGGCGATCTGAACATTCAGTTTCCGGATACCTTGGTAAGTGGCTCTTTCACAGGCTGGATATTACATTGACTAATAGCATCAAATCACAGCTCTGGAAACGCCGATATGTTGAAATCGATGCTTCGGGCAACCTTGTCCTCAGCCCCTCGCGCTCCAACGAGAAGGGTGTCGTCAAGCGCTTCCACCTGAGCGAATTCCGCGCTCCCTACCTTCCCGACCAAGATCGCCAGGAACTCCCGAACAGTGTTGTCCTGGACTTTGTCGATGGCAGGACGCTGCAGTGTGCATGCGAGACGTACATGGCGCAGAGCCAGATTCTGCAGAGTAAGTTTGTTGGCCTTGCATCCCTGCGAGTGAGGTGTGTGCGGAGAATGAATGCTAATACGGATGTAGTCTTGACAGAGGCACATGATGCCTGGCTTGCCTATGGTCAAGCGGCTTAACTTGGTCCCTTTCTTCCTCTCATCTGTCCCCTACTTTTTCTCGGATCGACTCGACTCGACCCGACCCGACCGACTGCTCGATACTCGATACTCGTTTCCTTGTCTCACACTCGCACCATACTTGCTGCCTCTCATGCTTTTTCCCCAAAACTCATACCCATACCCGGTCTTTGTCCACGCAAAGACCTTGTCCGTCATGATCGTACGAAATCAAATCCAGCATCACCTCATCTATTTCCTTGAGTTTTTTTTGGGTTGGATATAGAAAAGAGAGGTAGGCGGGAGGGTGGCGGAGTGTTTTGTTCTCCCTCTTTCTCCTCTTTTCCTTTTGTTCTTATTTTCTTTCTCGTGTGCAAAATCAGAGGTTCACTCACTTGAACAATTTTTTTCTGTTCTTGTCTGGAGATTTTCGTTTTATATCTTCTTGGCGAGCCACTTTTTTGTCTTCTTCCGTCACAGTCTCCCATGTTTTCTGGGGCGAGAGGAGATGGGAGATGGAGGCAATGTGGTGGCGTAGCAAGAGGCAGAGGCGAAGCGATTGCCAGTTGTATTATATTCAGAGTTTAAGCAAATCATGTGTGTAATATATATTGCTGCACGGGTCGCAGCCTATTTTGTGGTCATTCTGGCGGGTGTTTTTGGATGGTGTGTGTTTATGCCCTTGTGAGAACGCTGGGTAACCGAACTTGACCTAACCTACCCCATACTCATTTGCATTTCCTTGTCCAACCAGTAATGCTGATGCAATACTTTGCATATAGAGCTCAAAGGGGAAGTTTTGATAGGGTGGTTCATGTACGTTGTATTCGCTACCAAGTCCGACGATGCTTAGCTACATGATGGACTCCACCCCCGCACCATCTATCCTACATGCATATCTATTCCGCCTTTTTCTCGCTAGCTTCGCCGGAGAATTCGCAGTTGTTTAGTAACGTAGAGTGGACAGATGACAACAAGTAGATGTAGTCGCAGCGGACACCGAGGGATAACATGCTTGAACATACATCTACTCTACTCCCAACACTTACACTGTGACGCTCTGCATCGGCCCGCCTCCCGCGCCCTGCCTATCGGGCAGACTCCCACAGCTCCCAACGGCTAAACATGCCTTACTCGATGTGATCAAGTAACGACACAGACGTACAATATCTCTCGCTATCTGCTCATCAGCCCTTCCAACAAACACAATGTCACACCATTGGCCCGCTCGCTTTCAACAACACCCGCTATCATCGCGTGCACTGTGGCTACGAAGGATTGGGTACGACCGACCCGGGGGTTCGCGATACTACATGATAACTACGCGGTAGTTTGCGTGCATTGGCGGTGTTGCCGAGGACCAGAGGTTGGCTTCCCGGAGACCGCCGTCTGGCCATCCTTGAACGACGCACATTGGATTCGGAATGGCTTCTTCCAAGTTCCCCCCCCCCTACTCTAGCCATCCAAACCCGTCAATGCTCCCAGGCTCACCCCGCATCGAAGCCTTTACGCGAGCCCGCATATCTGGAGCTTGATCGCCGTTGGTTCGCGAGATAAGAGAAGTCGCAAGATGTCCGAATTCAGGCACGCCACAGATCCTGGGCGCGATTGTGCTTACCGTAGTAGCCTTTAAAGATGCATTTCAGCCCTGTCCTCATGTTGCTGCTGTCTGGGCCTCGTTACATCCCCCCCCCCCCCCTCTCTCTCTCCTCTGAGCACGTTTGATAATCCTCATGGCGTTGGAAGACCACAAGGGAGGCCGCGCATCCGAGCGCGACTCCTCGTCGACTGATATGGGTCAGTCTCGACCGATGAAGCGGACTCGGTGGGCGCTGGCCGTTGAACGCGAGCCCAGCAGTTTTGCAGCGACGCCGAGTGCGTCGAATGCTGACTTCGATCCGATTCCGCCCTCGAAGCGGACATGGGCTACCGGCTCGTATATCGCGTACTGGATGGCGGATGCCTGGGCCGTGTCCAACTGGGAGGTTGCCTCGTCCATGATTGCGGCTGGTTTGAGTTGGAGGATGGCGATTGGGGCTTGTGTTTTGGGGAACACGATCATGGGTGTCATCATTACTGTGAATGGAAGAATCGGGGCCACTGTAGGTTCAAGTTTCCGTCAGATAGGAGCAAGCAGCGGCTAATACGTCTTGTAGCTTCATGTCCCGTTTCCCGTCGTTTCTCGCATGCCGTTTGGCTACTACTTTAGCTACTTTGTCGTCGTGTCTCGCTGTGCGCTAGCTATCATCTGGCTCGGGTGAGTTGTGATACATGATCGATTCCATCCTGCAGAAACGCTGACAAGAGATTCAGTGTTCAAACCGTAACGGGCGGTCAATGCATGGCCGTCCTGCTCGCTGCCATTTGGCCCAGTTTTGCACGAATCCCCAACCATGTTCCTGAAAGCCAAGGTCTTTCGACATCGGGCTTCGTGGCCTTCCTCCTCTACTTTTTGCTTCAGATACCCTTTCTATGTATTCCCTACACCAAGATCCAGTACTTCTTCGGCTTCAAGTCCATCATCGCCCCCATCATCTTCCTCGCCATCTTTGGAGACACCCTGCGCCGGGCCGGAGGCACCATTGGCAACAGCACCGTCATCACAGAGGGCGTCACCCGCCACGGCTCAGCCCTCTCCTGGGCCTTCTTCGCAAACCTCAACTCCGTCCTGGGCAACTACGCCACCCTCGGCCTCAACATTGCCGACTTCTCACGCTACGCCAGCAAGCCGAGCGCACAAAACGTCCAAGCCATTGTCATTCCCTGCATCTTCACCGTCGTCGGCCTCCTCGGCATCTTCACCGCCGCCGCCGCCCAGTCCGCCTACGGCCACATCATCTGGAACCCGATTGAAATCCTCGACCTCTGGCAAGCCACCGGCTCCTCTGGCGGCCGCGCCGCCGCCGCCTTTGGCGCAATCGGCCTCATCATCGTCACCCTGGGCATCAACATCTCGGCAAACTCCATCAGCGCCGCAAACGACCTCATGGCCTTTTGCCCAAAATACATCAACATCCGGCGCGGCCAGCTGCTCGCCGCCCTCATCGGCGCCTGGGCCTGCGTGCCCTGGAAGATTCTCGCCTCGGCGCAGAAATTCCTCGCTTTTCTTGGTGGATATACCATCTTCCTTGGACCCATGACCGCCATCCTCATGACTGATTACTACATTTCCCGTCGCGGCAATGTGTCGGTGCCGGATATGTACGATTTCAACGGCATGTATAGGTATTCGGCTCGGTATGCGACGAATTGGCGTTCTGTCGTCGCTCTTGTTTTGGGGTTTTTACCCCCGCTTCCTGGTTTTATTAATAGTGTCTCCCTGGATACTATCAGTCTCGACAGCGGCGCTAAGAATCTGTACGTCCCCCATTTCCACCATCTCCCTCCCTATCCCCCCCTGCTAACCCAACAACCAGCTTCGCAATCGGCTACATCTACTCCTTCCTCGCCGCCGGCCTCTTCTACTGGGCCCTCATGAAATTCTTCCCCCATCTGCCCAGCAAACTCGACCACCCGGTTACAGGCGAGGATGTGATTGTCGCGGCTGACGAGAAGGCGATTGCGGCGGGTGAACGTAGGGTTCAGCGGAGTATGTGGGAGTTTTTGAGGGGGACGAGGGCGCGGGGGGGTGGCGGGGTTTGAATGGGTGGGGTCTTGTGTCTGTCTTGTTGGAGGGGGGGTCTTTGCATGAAGCAATTTTGTGGATTTTAGAAATGTGTGGCTTCTATCCGTGTCTCTGTGTCTATTGCACTCTTATCCTTGCTCGTCTGTACGAATCGTAAACCCCATCCTCACGTCAAACTCTCGACACCGTCTTCCGCCATTGACGCGACTTGATGTGGTGTGGAGCTGGGATAGAAGGTGGATATGTATGTGGATGTGGATATGTATGTGGATGTGGACGTGGATATGGATATGGATATGGATATGGATGTGAATGGTGAATGGTGTATGGTGTATGGTGGTCAATCATACAAGATTGCGAGGAGTAGTGTGGTAGTAATGTCAAAGGTTCAAGCAAGGTTAGATACCAAGAATTCAAGCATGCAGAGTTTACCAGCAGTATTGTGTTATAACCAGTAAGCATCAGGCGTATACTGTATAGAATCCAGTTGGGCGGATGGTACGTTGAAGTAATTGGGTATAGTAAGATGCATAACACTGTATTGAAACTACATGTATTGAAACCACATACACGAAAACCACATATATTAAAACCACATATATTAAAACCACATATATTAAAACCACATATATTAAAACCACCCCACCAAACCACCCCAACTAAACCCCCAAACCAGCATCAACACATGCACTCATAGTCACATCAACATCCCACCCCATCCATCCACCCATCCATCCATCCACCCCATCCACCCCCAAGCCCCCCAAAAAGTCCCAATCCCATCCCCAAGCTCCCAAAACAACAAACCCACCCATCATCCACATTCAAACCAAGCACACGCTCGTTTTCATCCATGCAGTCCTACTCTACAAGTCGTAAGGTGGGCATCAGACTACATCCTGCTTGGATGGGTATGCGTGTATTAGTTATCATGGAGAAGGGAGAGGAAGTAGGTTGAGGTTTAGGTTGAGGTGTAGGACGAGGTGTAGGACGAGTGATGATGTAACTATTCACCATCAACCATCAACACTACACTACAATTCCAATGCAAAACCCACATGGCCTTGCCATTTCATCTCATCTACTCATCTACTCATGTCTAATCTCTAACCCCTAACCTCCAATCCCATCCCCATCCTCCCCATCCCCATCCTCCAAGCCCAAACCCACCTCACGCCCACCCAACCCCCTCCATAAAAACCCCACGTGCGCATCCACCCCCCCGCCTCCCAAACCGGAAACTTTGACGAAAAACAAGGACAAGGGGGAAATGTCCCGTCTCTGCACTGGAATCCACGGTCTGTACTGCAATCCACTGTATTCTAATCCATCCCACACGCACGCACGCACACACGCACACACGCATGCAGCACCAACCCCACCCTACGCATCGACGCCGCTACCTGCCACACCATCCATCCATATGCACACCTCAACCTCCCACGCGCACAACCAACAACCAGCTACGCTCCGAGGAGATGACGAGGCTGCAGCAAGACCGGGATGGTGATGATGCAACATGCGTTATGCAGGCGTGTTAGATCACAGCATAGTATGTACGAGTACCGTAGATAAGGCAGTGCCGAGCAAGCATCTGTGGACCACGGAGGGGGGGATGACGTCGGACGTCATATCATACAGTGCGGAGACGGTACGGCGGCCTCGATTGGAGGTTTCCGTGTGCGGATTGGGGTCGTGTGCTGGCGATTCTTCATATCGGGGTAGGGTGCGTGGTGCGGGATACGCGGCTGGCCAGTGTACAGACTACTGTAGATACGGTACAGTGACGGGACAAGACTGGTGAACGGATCAAGGGTCTGTCTCGTCACTGCTGAGCTGTTTGCTGCGTGTGTGCCCAAGGTGATCATGGTACTTGGACGGGTGTGGGATTCTACCACTTCATCGGCCCGATAGGATATACACACCCTGATCGTGCTCCCGGCGCCGCCAACAACCGTCGTCCTCTCGCAGGGCCTGTAAATCGACGTTTCATCCAAAGAAAGAAAGTGCACGTGTGATGTGTGACGTCTTGTCCGCACCTCTCACGTGCTGCCTCAGCCGGCTGCAATGCCCACCCACCGATTGGGCACACCAGCCACAAGCTGCACGGCGGCGGACTTGCCAGATACGGGCTTCCGTGGAGGCAGCCAGATCCTCGCCTTGCCCACCGCCTTGTGATCCAGCTTACCCACCCGTCGCATATTCATCTCCAGCACAATGACGCGCAAAAAGTCGCCGTTCTCGCGCGGTTCGCGTTGGCGCACCGTCGGCTCCCCCGTCGTCGCCGCGCGCCCAGCTTCGGAAAAGGGATCGGTGGCGGCATTTCGCGCCGCGCGTTTAGATTTCTGGCTGCGGCCACGACGCTCGTAGGTTTGCATCTGAATCATGGGCGCCTCGAGGTCGGCGTCTGCATCGAGCGTCAAAGAATCGTGGAGGTGCATGGAGAGTTCTGTGGGGGAAATGGGGGCAGGCTGTGGGTTCAGGTAGCGGCGGAGTTCGGGTGAGGGAAGGCCCTCGAGGTGTTTGGGGCGCATTTCGCTCGTGTAGCTCGGGGAGAGCAGGGAGCGGGTGAGGAAGTCATCTGGCGGTACGCTGGGGGCCGTGAAGTTGGAAAAGTTCTTTGCGGCCGACTTGAGGGCTTGGATGGAGGCGGTGAGATTGGATTTGAAGGAGCGGAAACGCTCGTTTGACGTGGGTAGGGAGGAGACGAGTTCCCTGGCGTTGGTCTGCAGCATCTCCTCGCTTTCTTCCGGCCCAAAGTGAAGCAAGGGATGGTCGAATACGCAGTCTTCCTTTGGTGGCGAAGAGACGACCTTTTCTCTGCGCTCGGAGAGCGACTTGCGGCCCAGGGATTCTGGAGTGCTGAGGTTGTCCCAGTGGGAAGATAGGTAGGATGGATTGTCGTAATCCAACGAGGGCGGCATGGTAGGAATGGACTCGCTCGAAATGGACCTCGAAGTCAAGATGGAATCCTTCTCTTGCTCCATGCTCATGAGGCTGCCACAGTCGTCCTCTGACTCGTCCACACGGCCCAGTAGCAAGTCCAGGGGCGAGGCGCCATAGGAAGACGAGAGCTCGGAATCGTCTTGTTTCCACTCTTGGATCAGCTCGTCCATGGAGATGGTCCTGTCCATGGCCGAGGGCTTGCGCTGGCGGCGCGGTGGCATCTTTGGGATCGCGGTGACGGCCAACAGGGCGGCGACAGCCGGTGGGACGGCACTGGGATCATGGCCCTTGACGGAGCGCGACGGACGGCCTCCATTGTGTCCTCTTGCCCTCACCGTCTGCGTCGAAGTGAGGGACTTTAGAGGCGTTCGCGAGGGTATGACCACGGGCTGTGAATGGGGTGGCATGTTGGCGGTAGCAGGCATCGGCGGCCTCTGGTTCTCCTTGTTGATTCCTTTCGTCCTGTCCGCGATTTGTGTAGTTGTGTGCATTGCGGTGGGGGTGGTAGTGGGGGTCGTGGTCGTGGTCGTGTGCGTGTGCGTATGCGTATTCGTATTCGAGGGATCCGACTTGGTTGCTCTGGCAGTCGGTCTAGTGCGCGCAGTCCTCGGAGCCATCTTCTCAGAGCGGCGCAGTGAGGAAGGAGAAGATGGTTGGAGGTAGGGAAAGGACCTTGGCGAGTACATCATGGCTGTCTTGTGTGCTAGCGGCGTCGTTGTTCCCTAGGCCCTGAGCGCGTTTTCCCGGTGACTAACACTGTTCGGCAGGCTTCCCAGCGGCGGACGGCAGGCACGGACTGGAAGATGGATTTGGGTCGGGCTGTGACGTCTCGCAACTGATTGCTTTTACGTTATTGCTGGTCGGGGATTGGACGGGGGAGACCAGGCGGACGGCCGCGAGCGATGTCCAGTTGGCAGCTGGGCAGGGTCCAAATTTGGCCGAGCGATGACCGCAGCCCACTGCTCGCGTGTGCGGTGGAGATGGGATGGGAGGAGGTGGGAGGAGGTCTATCCTGTATGGGATAGAGTAGAGGTAGAGTGAGCAAAAGGCTGTGTTGGAAGTGGTGACAGGTAGTCAGCCAGCCAGCCAGCCAGTCAGTCAGTCTATAGATGGCAGATACTGTACTGTAAGTCTCGACGTGACGTGAGGCAGTCTCGGCAGCGATAAGGAATCAAAACTCCGGGGGGAGGGGGGCAACGGACGATAGGCAGACAGTATGACGAGTGACGAGGGTTTATCGGTGCAAGCCGATCAGTCATAAAGAGAGCACTCACTCACTCGCTGACACACGCACACACACACTCTCTCTCTCTCGAGGGCGCAGTTCATATGACCATGGAATTAGCGCTGCGTGAACTCGTATTTGGCATAGGGTTAGGCTGTGCCAAGCTCTACTAGCTAGCTAAGCAAGGTTAACTAAACATTATACTATAAGATTTTATAACGCGTTCTAAACCTATTCTAAATATATTCTATACTAGTAATACTATAAGCTACTACTACTATACCTATTACTAACGCATCCCTCTTATCCTATATAAGTAGATTAAAACGTATTTAGAATATATTCTTAATAGGTTATAGAAGCACTATTAATAGTACCTTGCCTTTAGCTATATCCTAGATAATATTAGGGTATAGCCTATAGTTAGCCCTAATAGGGTAGTTAAGATAGAGAGTAGAGAGCGCTACTACTATACTAAGATTAATAATAAGGGCACCTTATATAGAGTAAGAATAGGTTCTAAATATATTCTAAATAAGTTCTAATATTCTTAGGCTATTCTAGGTACTAGGGGCACTCTATATACCTATACTAAAAAAGATTATAGGCTTAATATAGCCTACTATAAGGTTAGTAGGGTTAAGAAGACTAGCTAGCCCTCTATAATAGAGGTCTATAAGGTAAAGAGTAAATATATTATTAACCTATTCTTAACTTATTATACTAATATATATAGACTTCTATATAAAGGTTATATATAATTACTAGAATACTTCTTACTATAAGTTATTTAGAATATATTTAAAACTTATTACTAATATATTTTATAGAAGTTCTCTAAGCCTAGCTAGTAGCTACTATAGGCCCCCTTATAAATACTAATACCCTCCTAAATATAATTTAGAAGAAGACTTATAGTAGCTATAATAGTAATAAGGTATAGCCTATAAGAACCTATTAAAAATATATTACTAATTTATTATAGCTTAACTTTATTACTATATCTACCCTACTAAGGATTTAAGGTTATTAGGTTCCTTATACTATCTACACTTATAATTATCCTAGCTATAGTAAGTTATTTATAATATATTATTAACCTATTCCTAACGTGTTTTAAGACTATTACTTTAATACTAGTATAGACCTTACTAATTCCTACTAGAATACCGCCTAGTTCTACTTGCGGTATACTTTTGTAGAGCCTAGGGAGGATAGGGAGGATAGAGAAGATACTAGAGAGGGGGAGGGAGATAATAATAGTAATAAGTAGGAATATATTAAGAACGTGTTAAGAATAGGTTCTAATAAATAATATATAATAGTATATAACCTAAAGGGGTAGTAGTAATTACTAAAATAAACTCTTTACTCTTCTCTTTTTTTTTCTATCTACTAAAAGTAAAGTACTATTTACTTTTATAGGGTCCTTTAATAGTATATAACTTTTTCTTTTAACTTTTATAGGTATTATAAAGCTCTAGTAGTCCCTTAGATTAAAGAAGAATCTAGTATTTATAGGTGTCTAGCTATAATATATTGTTAATATATTCTAAATATGTTTTAAGAGACTAGACTTATATCTCCTTTTTACTACTTTTGCTAAATATTATTTATAGTATAAAGGGGAGCAACTATTTGCTCCTCTTCTTTACTCTCTACTTCCTCTTTAGCCTCTACTCTAGCTACTACTTCTTATTGTAGACTAGCTATCTTAGAGGGTTCTTAAACCTTAGAGGAGGCACTTAGTGTAGTCTACTCTACTAGCAGAGAATATATTATTAACATGTTTAGAACACGTTCTTAAGCATTTACTATTAAGCTCCTATAGAAGATCCTTGCTTCTATAATACCTTATATTATAGTTCTACCACAGTTTACTAGGGCTATTTAAACCTTAGGATAATACCTCTTAAGGTAGTAGATAAGATTACCTTTATTAGAGAAGCAATACTAAAATAGTTATTAATATATTATAAACGTGTTCTAACTTGCATGTATATATACTCTATAAAGTTCCTATACCCCTAATCTAGCCTAAATAGCGCTAGTAGAAAAGCTTACTAGGAAATACTATACACCTATTATTTAGGTAGGATATTATAGGAGAGAATGCCCTAGTATTAGATAGAAGTAACTTAAGCTTAATATATTGCTAGTATAAATCCTACTTAGTGTTAGAACAAGTTTATAACGTGTTCCTAACGCGTTCTATTATATACTAACTTTAAAAGATCTTTATAGACTATATTAACTAGTTATATCTAATAATATTAGGAAAGATAGATAGTAAAATAGTATTAAACTCTTAAATATAAAAAGTTCTTATAGAGTATAAGAAGAAAGAAGAAGAAAGAGAAGAAGAAAGAATATATATTTATCTACTTATATATACTTATATAATAGACTAGAATATATTAAGAACTAGTTAGGAACTAGTTACTATATTTATAGACTAACCCTACCTTATATAAAAAGTAGCTATCTCTTTCTTAAGTTTAAACTGTGCCTTTTGCAATTTAAATAGTGCCTTTTTCTATACAAGTTCTTTCTTATCTACTTCTAGCTTTTCTTTTCTCTCCTTTAGAGCCTAATTACTAAGAAAAGCCTTTTATTATAAATGTAACAATAAGGCAGAATTGCCTGCCTATTGTTCTATGCCGAGTCAGGCCTGATAAAGGCCTGACTCACTGATGTATATAGAGAACAGCTCGCCTATAGTTAGGATAGGCATGTTCTTCTTGTCCTTTTATACAAGACCTATAGGTGTAGGAATCTTATTCTTTTCTATATAGACGCGCACTCCTATATGCCTTTAAGTTGTATAGGATACCTTTTAGATGCCCTACCTACCTAAGTTATTACATTATAAGAAGAATATTATCCTAGCTAGTAACGGCATTTAAGAATATCGCACTTATTGTTATTTTAAGCTACTAATTTAGTTCTAGTAGCTACCTAACCCTGTAACTCTACAGTTAGAATAGCTATTAGAACTTCTAACAACCAAAGCCTATAGGCTTGGACTTCTAGACCTATAGGTGGTGCTAGATTACCTTTAGAAAAATCGCGTTAGATTGCGTTAAGGTAGAGACCTAGAGACTACTAAAAGCCTAGAGGAATTAGAGGCAAAGCTAATATCCTCCTATAACCAAACCCCCTAAAAGAAAAGAAAAGATTTGTTGTTCTTATTAACTACAAAATATTAGATAAGGGCAAAGGAAGGGCCTCTAGTTTAGCTACTTTTAAAAGCCTATTTACTAATAGAAAGAAATTAGATAAGGAAGACTTAATTAACAACGCCCTCCTTAAAGGACCCGCTTCCTATCTATCTCTTAAGGTACCTTGTGCTCCTAGGAAATCTTAAAGCAACACCTCCCTTAAAGATAAATATATATTAACCCTATCTAAAAAGGAGAGGTTAGAGGAATAAGTTAAGTAACTTACTAATTAGTTATACAACACCTCCCTCTATAAGGAGATATAGGGTACTACCTAACCTAGCTAGTCTTTAGCTTCTATATTAAACCCTATAGTATATACTATAAAAGCTAAGAGACAATCTAAAAAGACGCTAAATATCTCTATACTTAGTAATAGTGCTAATCCTACTTTTAGATAATAGCAAGCATCTATTTAGGATAGGCTAGAGATTAACGCTAATTACTACCCCTCTTCTAGAGCTTAGATAGCGTTAGTCTAGGGACACTGCTCAGGACTAGTAAGAGAATACTTAGAGCCACGTTACCTATCTAATTCCCTAAGCCTTTAGTTCTAAAAAGCTAAGGAAATAATTACCCTCCTTTAAACCTACTTTATTACTAGAAATAAGACAGCTAAGAGTTAGACTACATTTAACCGCCTATACATAACTAATATAGAGACGTTCCCTGCCTTTAAGTTATAATTCTAGAGTCTTGCTATTAGAGGAGAAGTACCCTAATTAGAGTAGTATTACTACCTCTAGATAAAGATTACACCTTCCCTAAGGATGCCAAACCTTGCTTTCTAACAGAATTAGCACAATAATTTCAAGACTATAGTAGATTATCTTACTGCTTTTAATATAGAACGCTGCCTATACCCTACCTTATCTACTCCTACCTAGACTACCCTATTATCTAGAAAAGGACTAACTCCCTTCTAATACTCTAGAAACTAGTCCTATTTAGACGCTAATTAGAAACCCTATAATAGACCTTTAATAGCTAAACCTTATATGCCCTATTTATAATAATAAGGCACTACCCCTTAAAACAATTGACCCCTATCTGCTACGCTAGCCACTCCTAGCGCTACTATAACAGGAATCCTAGTAACTTGCTATAATTATAGAAAGCCTAGGCACTTCTCTAGTAACTGCCCTAAACCCCCTAGGATTTAGGCTATAGATATAGAATAGGGTGTTAAGAATTCTAAGGAAGAAGAAACCGCTAAATTAACTAATTTAGATAGCTATCA